CGTCTCTGGCCCTGTTCAATGGCCTGCGTATGCCGCTCAACCTCTTGCCCCTTGTCATTGGCCAGGTCACCGACGCCTGGACGTCCGTGAAGCGGATCCAGGAGTTCTTGCTTGCCGAGGAGCAGGAGGAGGACGTCGAGTGGAAGCCCGAAGGCCTCCATGCTGTCGAGATGCACGATGCCAGCTTTACCTGGGAGAGAACCCCTACGCAGGAGACCGACGACGGGCCGGGCAGTAAGAGACCAGGAGCCGCTCCCTCGAAGAAGGGTCAGAAGAAAAAAGAGGCGACCGCCAAGGCGGCCCGGCCGGCTTCGTCGGATGGGAGCGCTGGTGACACTGCCAGCACGCTTGTCGAGGAGCTCGACCCGTTCAAGCTCAACGACTTAAACTTCAGCATCGGCCGCAACGAATTGGTCGCTGTCATCGGCTCCGTCGGCAGCGGAAAGAGTTCTCTGTTGGCGGCGCTTGCCGGTGATATGCGCAAAACCAGTGGCGAGGTTGTCCTGGGCGCGTCCCGCGCCTTCTGTCCGCAGTACGCATGGATTCAGAACGCCACCCTCCGTAAGAACATCTTGTTCGGCAAGGAGTACAGCGACAAGTGGTACAAAGATGTTATCCAAGCGTGTGCCCTGCAGCCCGATTTGGACATGCTGCCGGCTGGCGACGCGACCGAGATTGGTGAGCGCGGTATCACCATCTCCGGAGGCCAGAAGCAGCGCCTGAACATTGCGCGTGCCATCTACTTTGACGCCGACATCGTGCTGATGGACGATCCCCTGAGTGCTGTCGATGCTCACGTTGGCCGCCACATCTTTGACCATGCCATCCTTGGTTTGCTAAAGGACAAGTGCCGTATTCTGGCCACCCACCAGCTCTGGGTGCTCAACCGCTGCGACCGTATCATCTGGATGGAGGCCGGCAAGATCCAGGCAGTCGACACGTTTGACAACCTGATGCGTGACCACGAGGGCTTCCAGCAGCTGATGGAGTCGACGTCGGTCGAGGAGGAGCAGGAGGCGAGCGCGCCCGCGGCAGCGTCTGCGGATGCCGAGGGCAAGAAGAAGAAGACGAAGAAGGGCAAGACCCTGATGCAGAGCGAAGAGCGCGCCGTCGCAAGTGTTCCGTGGTCCACCATCGCCGACTACATTCGGTCGTCTGGCTCCATTTTGAACGGCCCCTTGGTTGTCTTTTTGCTCATCCTCTCACAGGGCTCCAACATTGTGACGTCTCTGTGGCTCTCGTACTGGACGTCGGATAAATTCGGCTTCACGACGGGCGTGTACATTGGCGTGTATGCTGCTCTCGGTGCGGTCCAGGCCTTGCTTACTTTCAGCTTCATGGTGTCCTTGTCCATCTTTGGCACCAGCGCGTCCAAGGTCATGCTGCGTCGCGCCATTGGGCGTGTGCTGCGTGCGCCCATGTCCTTCTTCGACACGACTCCCCTTGGTCGTATCACCAACCGGTTCAGTCGCGATGTGGACGTCATGGACAACGCGCTGAGCGACGCCATGCGCATGTACTTCTTCAGCGTGGGCAGCATCGTCTCGGTTTTTGCCCTCATCATCGCCTTCTTCCACTACTTTGCCATTGCCCTTGGTCCGCTCTTCCTCATCTTCCTCTTCGCCACGTCCTTCTACCGGTCGTCGGCGCGCGAGGTGAAGCGCTTCGAGTCGGTGCTTCGGTCGACCGTCTTTGCCAAGTTTGGCGAGGGCCTCAGCGGCGTGGCCTGCATTCGGGCCTACGGCCTGCGGGAGCATTTCATGGCAGACCTGCGCAACGCCATTGACAACATGAACTCGGCATATTACCTGACGTTCAGCAACCAGCGCTGGCTGTCTGTGCGTCTCGACATGATTGGCAACCTGCTTGTATTCACAACCGGGATCCTCGTCGTGACGTCGCGCTTCAACGTCTCGCCGTCCATTGGCGGCCTTGTGTTGTCGTACATCCTGGCCATTGTGCAGATGATCCAGTTCACGGTGCGTCAGCTCGCCGAGGTGGAGAATGGTATGAACGCCGTCGAGCGCCTGCAGTACTACGGCCAGCAGCTGGAGGAAGAAGCACCGCTGCACACTGTTGACGTGCGCCAGAGCTGGCCGGAGAAGGGCGAGATTATCTTTGACAACGTGGAGATGCGCTACCGTGAGGGTCTTCCGCTCGTGCTGCGCGGCCTCAGCATCCACGTGCAGGGCGGCGAGCGTATCGGGATCGTCGGCCGGACCGGTGCTGGCAAGTCCAGCATCATGTCGACGCTGTTCCGTCTTGTCGAGATTAGCGGCGGCCGCATCAGCATCGATGGCATTGACATTGCGACCATTGGTCTCCACGATTTGCGCTCGCGCCTCGCAATTATTCCCCAGGATCCCACACTCTTCCGCGGCACGGTCCGCAGCAATTTGGATCCGTTCAATGAGCACAACGACTTGGAGTTGTGGTCGGCGCTCCGCCAAGCCGATCTGGTCACGGACGAGGCCGAGCAGCAGGCCATTTCCGGAGCCGCCAGTGGTGGCGCCAGTGGCAGCGGGAGTGGCAGTGGTAGTGGCAACAAGACTGGCGCTGTGAGCAGTTCTGTTGTGCCGGAGACGCACCCACCAGCGGCGGCTGGTCGTGATGCGACGCGCATCGGCTTGGACAGCGTTGTGGAGGAAGACGGCTTGAACTTCTCGTTGGGCCAGCGCCAGCTTATGGCCCTGGCACGTGCACTGGTGCGTGGCAGCCAGATTATCGTGTGCGACGAGGCCACGTCGTCGGTGGACATGGAGACGGACGACAAGATCCAGGCGACCATCGCCTCGGGCTTCCGTGGCAAGACGCTGCTGTGCATTGCGCATCGTCTGCGGACCATTATTGGTTACGACCGCATCTGTGTCATGGACCAGGGCGCCATTGCCGAGCTGGACAACCCGATGGTGCTGTACCAGAACGAGAACGGCATCTTCCGTGGCATGTGCGACCGGAGCGGCATTCGTGCGGACGACATCAGCGCTGCCCAGGACAAGCTGGAGAGCTATGTCGCCAGCCAGGCGGGCAAGGAGAAGGTGCAGTTGTAGGTGTAGAAGCAGCGTCTGCATGTTTGCTTGTCATATCGGCGGTCTTTTTGTTGAAACCAAGACGCCTAGTACCAATTATGATACCTTTGCTTTGTTATGTTTGACATTCTGAAATCCGAGAGACGGACCGGGAGAAGGAGAAGAAGAAAAGTCATTTGCCGTTAGTTACGTCTGCTCTTCGTCCATATAAAAGCCCATTGAGCGAGCTCATTGTTTATTACCCATAGAAAAAACACTGAAAGTAATACAATAAAACAGCAAACCAGGTTCGTTCCCTGTTCTAGTCGCATCGGGGTGACCTTGTACGCAAAAGCTGTTGCTGTTCGTAGCAAGACTCGCTAGACGTCGTTTGGGGGGTGGTGTCGTTTGACGATAAGAAAGATTGAGAAAAAGAGAGAATTTGAGAGTCCTTTGTTTTGTGGCGCAAAAGCAAGAAATCTAACGATCGACTCCATACGGCCCCAAATGGGCAGGAGTCAGACGGTCGTCCCTCCCCAGTGTTCCCCTGTGTAACGCCCCCCTGAAGCTCGTTCTTGCTCGTTTATCAGTCTTTGTTTTGTACAGGCAGGAACGACGATCCGTGCTCGTTTGCTCTTGCCACTGAAACAAACGGCTTCTCTTGCAGCGCGTTACGTGTTCTTTCCTCGTCTGACGAACCAAAAACAGCAGCTTTACGCGATGCTCACGTCTCACGGATCGCTCGTTCCCACACTTTCGGCCAATGAAGCCAGTAGTGGTTGTTATCGAGCCGTGAGCGAATACAAGGAAAGGTGTTAACACGGTGGCTACGATATGGTCAAATACCGCAATCAATAATACAAGACGAGGTGGGCTACAAGGCTCAATCGCAGAATGTAAGTGGAAGGTCCGGTGTGGCTATACATTGCCGTACATGACGACGAAGGATGCGGCCGAGACATTGGTGTCTCCAAACAGCCAACTGCTCAATTAACTCTGTATTTTAAAGGAGAGACAGGGCCGAGTCTCATGGCAGGAAAGGGTACGAACGTATGGCGTAGACCATTCCAAATGTTTACAGACACAGATACGATCTGTTTCTGATGTAAAGCAGCAGGCGGAAATCTGCGTCTGCCATCATCGAACGCAGGAGCACTTTGTCAAGATGTATTTATTTTGATGCTCGCCTGCCGACATGTCGGTGAGCAAGATGAGAAAATTTACGAAAATCTCGAGCCGGTTTTGGCCACCGGCGCGACATTGGAGCAATGATGGAACATAGTAAAATATATGGGATCTGAGGCTATGGCATATGCTACAAACGTACCACGAAACGGAAAGCGGACTAGTGAAGATAGGACAAAGATCATGACGAGATAATCAGTCGACCGCGACTCCTCTTTCATGCTGGGACACGCGTTGTCCAAAGAAAACAAGAACAGGGCAGGGGGGGCTGCTGCAGGAGAGTTGATGAGCAGTGCTGGGACGTGGCAACTGGGTCAGAAGGTGCCCACACATGCTACCTCTCGCTCCCCCAACGTCGCACCCCCCAGATTCCAAAATTAGGTTGACGAGCCGAGCCCATCTTTTGTAGAAAGCAACCAGGTAGATAGAAACAAAAGAGTAAAAAAAAAATCAGACTGAAAAGGGAAAAGCACAGAAGCCTTGGTAGACCAAAGGAAATGAATCGAACAGAGTAAAGAAATAAAACCGTTAGATCTGCCGCCGAAACCGTATAAAAACGCCGTCGAACTCATCGCGCTTAGAGATGGCCAAATATATCGAGAAGATAAAGCAGGGACAGGACGGAAACAAGCATGAACACTGCTGCCCTGCCGATATCCGTTCCCTCCCGCAAGGAAATGTATATTACGCAAATGTCATGTACAGAGTACAGATGCGTGCGGTGTACGTCGAGAAACACGCGCCGCAACACACCCCAACACGCCCCAACAGCTGTATCGCTCTAGCCCGAGAACCGACTAGAACCGACTAGAACCGGCTGCCACCGTGGCTGGACTGGCTGTACGAGTGATTGTGTGATGGGCCCGTGCCGGGAGGGAACAGATGCGGTTGGTCGTCCAGCAGGTCATCGAGAAACGCACTCGGGGCGCGGCCGCTCGCGGGGCGGTTGAGGCTGACGGAGCTGCCGCTCATGTTGCGACCAGCGAGGTTCGTGCGCATGGGGCCAAAGTTGGGCGAGTCGGGCGGGCTGGGCCCAATGTTCCGGCCGTGGCGCGAGTCGGGACGCAGGTTGGACATGTTGATAGCTTGTCCCTGTGCTGCACCTGCAGGCGAAGCAGTCCCGGCAGCGTAGAAGCCCGACGGCAGCAGTCGGGAGTCGCGGTTGCCGCCGGCACCCATGCCGCTCGCACCGGGAGCCGTGGGCGAGAAGAACAGGTTCGTCTGCGAAGGCGTGGCCGAGGGCGTAGGACCGCGGTTGGTACGGCGGACGCCGCGTCCGGAGCCAGCCACGCTGCCAGCACCGGCGGCGCCAACATTGAGCGACGATTCGCGATCCGAGTACTTGTAAAAGGGCGCGGCGGCGGGAGCAAAGGGAGCCTTGTCATTTGCAGCGTGCTGGGCCAGGGCAGCACGGGCGATGGAGCGGTGCAGCAGGTAGGCCACGACGGCTCGCCAGACAAGCAGCGCGGCGGCAAAGCCACCGAGAATGGCACCGACGGCAATGAAGACCGTGCCATCCGGCAGGTTGGAGTGCTGCATGAAGGGCGCGTTCTCAGTCGGGGGAACGGTCGGCGCCGGGTACGCGGGTATAGCGGTGTCGGTCGTCTTGAGCGTCGGCAGGTTCAGCAAGGTGGTGGTACCCGGAGTCGTCAGGGTAGGCACCGAGGCCGTCTCGGTCGGACTCTGACCGCCGGTCGGCGTGATGACGACAGTCCCCGCGGCGCTCGAGCTCTCGGGTGCGGGGGAGCTGGAGGCTGGATCGGGTGACGACTGCTGCTTGGGCGTGTTCTTGGGGGTCGACTTGGCCGGCGTCGAGGCAGGCGGAGGCGGATTCGAAGACTCTGGTGCGGGTGTGGACTTTTCTGCCGGGGTAGTAGGAGCACCCTTGGGGTTTGTCGTCGGTGTCTTCTGGGTTGCGGGCGTGTTGGTGTTGGTTGCCTTGTTCGGGGTGGTGGTGTCCGCGGCCATGGCGGTGGCGGAGAAGAGAGAGACAGCGACGACCGCCGAGAGGAGAAGCGTCCGCTTCAGTGAGACGCGTGACCGACTCATTTTCATAGTCGGTTGTGTTCTGAGGAGACGATGCAGGGGCAACGCTGTGGTGACGAGGTGAGCCAGACGCGGTGCAACGGCTGACACGCTGTCACGCTATGCTGTATCACGCGGAAAAGGGTGTGAAAGCGATGTGAAAGCGAGGGCAATAAGAGGCGAGCGTGCCCAATATAGCCAGCGAAGTACCGAAAGTCCGCAGATGGTTACGTATCAAACTTTGTATTGCGAGGAAGACGGCGTAGGAGATGGAAAGGAGGGCCGATGGAAAAGGTCGAAAAATGAGGCAAAAGCGCGCGTAAAAAAACGAAAGTAAGGCGGCGTGAAAGCGAAATCGAAATGAAATGAAAATCGAAATGAAGGAAAGAGAACGAAAGGACGCGGTCGAGAAGACAAGGTCGATGGCCGCCGGCAATACGATGAGCGGATGTCGATGTGTCGTTGTTGTTGTCGTGAGATGCTAAAGGAGAGGAAAAGAGAAATCGAAAGCTGAAGCAGAAGTTGAGAACAATTTACTGGGGACCAGCGGAAACGAGCGAACACGAGGCAGGAGGCAATGGGGCAGACCGAGAAAGGGGAAAGGATGTGCCAAATGAGGAAACAGGGAAAGTAGGCACAGTGGGTGTGGGCTGAAAGCTGCGGGCAAACTACGAAGTACAGCCAGAGCGGGACTCGACACTCTCGTATATTATGGAGACCAGGGCCAAAAAAAGAACGGAAAGCACGCCAAGCAACACGCAGGGGAAGGCAGGTGAGAAATGTAGAGTTGGACTGTGTCGAGGAAAGTACGCCATTTGGCGGGCAGACGGCAAGAGAGGAAGAGGGTCTCAATGGCATGTCTGAGAAGGACGGGAGAGCAGTTCTGGCGCCTGCATGGCCCTGGAGTGCCCTGACAGCGCCTCCATAGCGGCTACCGTAAGGGGAAACACAGGGCAAACAAGGGGGATAAAAAGGGGAAACAGTGCGCAGCGGGATGTTTTGCGCGGTGCCTTGCTCCTTCCCCGTGCCCCGTTTTAGTTTAGACAGCTGCCGATGCCACTTTGCGTTAGTGACAAACAAAGACAGTGCGAAGTAGATCACGGGCACTAGAGCACTGAGCTCGAAAAAGGTAGACGACAAGAACAAGACGATGCGCTGCTACAATGCCCGGATGCGATGGCTTTTCAACGGCCTGTGCCTGCATTTGTGATCCAGTCTCCTATCATGCTGCAGGCAATATGCCCTCCCCCAGCATTCGGTAAACGCGCCTTTGCGCGACGTTGCACGACTATCAAAAGCAGTCACGATTTGCATAGGTCAGTACTGTGATGGGATAGGGTGTGGCTGGGTATTCGCACGGTGCCGGCTGGTCTCTTTCTCAACCCGTCGAGAGAGGTGGGCCGGTCCTTCCTTGATCGTGCATTTTGGCAAATACTAGAGGAGCAAAACGTCAAACGGCGCCAACACACCCGCTGTGACAGTGGTTGAACTCTGCACTGTAAAAATGCACGGTGTAGATTACCTTATTGTACAAATTCGTAGGCCACAGCTCAGCCACGCATGACTGAGCATAGTGCCATTTTAGCGCGGATGCACTTCGCCCAGAACCATTCTCCCATTTTCGATTTTGGCGGGCCGTTATCGCGATAAGAAAAGTCGCCGCGCTCCAGCCAAAGAAAAAAGTCGAGATCCTTATCTACGGCTCGCATCACAGCATCGGACAGCGCTTCATCAATACAAAACACGGCACCCCGTCTTCGCCTCTTTGTGGTCTCATTCCATACCACCGAGCCATCACAACTGCACACGACCGCAAACATGGGTGTCGCCAAAAAGACAAGAAAGTTTGGGCAGGCAAGTTTTTTATTTGTTTTGTTGCACGGACGATGCATGTGGCCTCATCGTGAGATGGGCCCTCTGTGAGGACGCAGTGGCCGTCGGCTAACCCGTACCATCCACCCCGACAGATGAAGAGGGTGATCGGACAACGTGATGCCCGCTTGAAGAAGAACAAGGACAAGGCCGAGCTGGGGACGAAGAAGGCCGAGGCCGAGGCGTCATCCGAGCTCATCCGTTCCGTGTATGTGTTATGTTTTTGCCCTCCTTCTCTCACATCGCCTCCTCCTACCGTCGTATACTAACGCCGAGGCAGCCCGCAAATGTCCATCTCTCTCTTCCACAAGGCCAACACGGCGCTCGTACCGCCTTACCAGGTCCTCATTGACACAGTATGCCGCCTTCGTCTTGCCATGGCCGCTGGGCTGATTGTTCTTGCTTCATTGCATCATCGCAACATTGCATCATTTCATGCGCTGACGTCGCTGCAGAACTTCCTTTCACACACTGTTCAGCGTAAGCTGCCATTATTAGAAACGATGGTAGGCCATTTTTCTGGGCAGACGCGAGGTCCGCCAACGCCATCACTAACCGTGTGTGCAGATGGACTGCCTCTACGCAACATGCCGCCCCATCATGACCGACTGCGTCATGGCCGAGTTGGAGAAGCTCGGCCCCAAGTACCGTATCGCGCTCAAGATTGCCCGAGACGAGCGGTGGGAGCGGTCCAAGTGCACTCACAAGGGTATTTATGCCGATGACTGCATCTTTGACAGAATCGTCCGTCACCGGTATGTACCTCTTCCCTTTCCGTCTTCAGCTTGCCCCCTCCTCATTGCTTCGCTATCGATTCATGAGCTAACTTTTTTTGTAGTACTGTATGTTACATATTCTATTCACTGCTCGCGAAGCTTTCTTTCCATTGTTGGGCCGTGTGCACCGACACTACGACATGTGCGAACTCGTATGGCCAACGAAGGATGGCATGCTAACTTGAATGATCACAGTATATCGTGGCCACCAACGATCGCGACCTGAAACGACGAGTCCGCAAGGTGCCCGGCGTGCCGTGAGTGCAATCCGAATCCTTCCGTCCCCTGACCTGACTAGTCGTCTTCCAATTTCGTTCCAATGTTGTTCCACTTTTGTTGCCATTTCGAAACTAACATCTTGCCTGTCTAGAATCATGAGCGTCGCACGGGGCAAGTACGTCATCGAGAACCTGCCAGGTGCACCGGTGTCATAAGCCCATTGCCCTGGGAGTTGTCCCGAATGCGAAAGGCTGCTGTTGCTTTGTATTTGCGCGGTTCACTACTCTATCGCCCAAGTCATCTTTTTGTGCGGTGTTGGGCGTTCAGGTATCTCTCGCTGGTTCATAGTTTTGCATCGTTTACAATTCATAGATAATGGTCACGATTCACAGTTTTGCTTCTGCGGCATTTTGCGAAATAAGCAAGTGCAAAAGGCGCGTAGACGGGAACAACGTAAAGGGGAAGCATCTACGCCAGGGGCACATTTGCTTTCGTGATGCGTCATCATATGTAAAGAATTGTAATTTCGTTTGATTCCCTTGCTGTCATCTGCAGAGAAAACAATGCTATCCCAACATAAAGCGCAAAACCCCGCCGTTCCTGACACCCATAAAGTTCCAATCCACCTTTTTATTTCAACACGCCATGATTTTTTGTTTCTTTTCGATAACCAAACCGTACCCCTCTGTAAATGGAATAAAACGCCGTGGGCATGATGGGTCATTGCGAAGAGACCGTAACGCGGACAGTGTATATAAAATGTAAAACAGGACAAAGGAAAGCCTCGTCGAAAAAGACGGTAGATATATCAAGATGGAACATATGTAGATATGTCCACCGAATAGATAAACCCCGCGTCCCCCTCTCGCCCCTTTTCCATGACAATCAAGTGTCTGGTTTTCATAAAATTTCATCTCTCGTCGCCGTAAATTCAATTGCTTCTGGAACAAACAAGAGAATAATTTTTGGGTTTTGCTCTCCTTGTAAAACATGTCCCAAGCTCCAGCTCGCTTGCTGATGCTTTGAAAATAGAAACTGCTTGCTGAGTGACGGGCCTGTCTGCAAGATGGGGAAAATAAATGATTAACGTAACGACGGCAGGAATTGACACGAAACGGCAGGCAATGCGAGACCAGGTAGTATCGTTGGGAGAGGGTTGAATTAGCTCGCAATGACACCACAGAGGCGCTGCATGACCTGCCGCCATTAGTCGGTGGATTCGCAGATGGCTACGGCTCTAAGGCAGCCACTCTTCGTCGTCTCGTGCGGTAACGCGCATGACCAAGCCGTCGTCGTCTTCTTCGTCCTCGTCCTCGTCCTCCTGTTCGTTCTGCGCAACAACCAATTCGCCGACTGCACCACCATTCGAGCGTTGTGGCGGCATATGTAGCTGCTGATGCTCATTGCTCGGAGTGGGGTCGTCATCTTCCTCGCCATTGTCCTCTTCATCGTCCTCGTCCTCCTCCATCCATGTCAGGCCATTTGCCTGCTCCTCCAGAGGGAAGACCTCACGCGCGTACTCCTCGAGCCCACGTGGGGCCTCCCAGAGATTTAAGGCAACGGACGGCACATCCTCGTCGAGGGTTTGGCTGCCAAAGTATGGCGGCTGTTTCTTCGGGTCGTCGCCGCCGAGCATAAAAAGCTTCTCAAGGCCAACCAACTGCGCGCGGTACCCCTCGGGAACAGGCACGTTGATACGGATGGGGCCGCGCTTGTACTTGACGGGGCGGCCAACACCTCTTGAGAAGTGGCGGCAGGCCTCACGCGGTGAAAGCATCTCGTAAGCCAGGGCAATACGCTGACCACGCCCCCACTTTGCCACACCGTCCTTGAAAATCTGCAGAATGGCCGGACCAACATCGTGTTCTGCGTCAAGCCAGGGCAACTTGGCGTCTGGATGGAATGGTGCCTCCCAGAGGAAGGAGCCGTCTGGCTGCAGGTCCATACAGAAGAGCGGGTATTTGAGAGAGGTGAAGTTGTTGTTGTAGATGCCCGTGTAGACAAAGGTCGACGGGAGGCCGATCTTAAAGATGTACTCCTCCACCCGGTGCTTCGCCGCCCACAGCGGCAGTGACGGCCAGTACGCATCGTAGGCGTTGTGCGCGGGCATCGACGAGTAGACGTAGTGCTGGACACCAGCCTTCTTGGCAGCATCCGCGAGAGCCTGGCCAATCTCGAGCTCATCGCCATAGAAAGTCGTGTTGATAAAGGCCAACTGTGCTCCGCGGAAGAGCTCGTTGATCAGTTCGTGGTTGACGCCGATACCGGAGAGTGAAGGGCCTTCGCCCGTGACATCAATGTCCTCGGCGAGCGAGACGCCCTTGGCCTTGTCTGAGTCGGAGCGCGGCAGGCGCGTGTACAGCTCGCCCTCAAGGACTGTCACGTTCTCGTTTGTTGCAACCTCCGTAGCAATGACGCCTAGCCGGTTGCGCATCTGGGCGCGCACATGGTAGCCGACAGCCGTGGCATAGCGAATCAGCGAAGCTGCTTGGCGACCACTGGCATTGATGACGGCAATGGTCTTGCCTGGGGCCGGCATGGAGCGCTTTGCTGGCCGGAAAGTCAGAGAGTTGTTTCGAGAGATGAGCGGGGAGGCGTCCGAGTACGAGGACCGGGCGTGCTTTTGGCGCTTGTCTTCGAAGCTGTGGCCGTTGGCGGAGCCGTTCAGGATGGGAATGCCGACAGGAGCGCCGTTTGTACGAGCACTGCTGGCGCCGTTTATTACAATGTCGTGGTTATTTGTCGGAGCTGGCCGTATGGCAAGATCCGCGCGAAGTTCTCCAGGCATTCGAAGTGGTGCAAGCGGTCGCCCTCCTAAAATAGGAAAAGAAAGCTACCCCAGGGAAGGAAGGGTGGTAAGGTAGGAGTATTTTTATGCGGGTGAGCACACAGGGCGTTGTGTGTGTGTGTGTGTGTGTATGCGCGCGCGCGTTTCGTAAGGCGGGAGGGGCGGATGTCGAATCAAAGAGAGAGGGCTGTATGATGGAGGAAAAAATGAAGACGGAAAACCAAAAACGGTAAAAGAACGACAAGGTTGCGAAGAGAAAGGGAAACAGAGAAAACAGAATCGAGCTCCGAGGACTCTTCTCAGTCGTACCGTTTTAGATGGAGACCAGAATCAGCAAACTCCCACAAAAGTATGTGTTTTTCTCCTCTTTCTTTTTCTCGAGTTTCGTGGCTTGTCAGACTGTTGAGCCTATCGTGAATCACTCGGTTTGCGCGAACGGGAAAATACGCGGTCGTTAAGAAAATGAAAGTCATCGACCGACGGCAGTAATTAGTTTCCTATACAGGCAAAGCCAATGCACCCTGAGGGGTAGTGGTCAGGGGGCCAAAGCAAACGTCTCCTCTTTAAAATTTTCCAGCGCAACAAACGTGCTGCTACATTTTTTTTTGTTAGTGGATCCGGGAACCGTTTTCTTTCTTTCTTGCTGGGCGGGCTGAATGACACGGTTGGGGTCCATGCCAGTTTGGTAGTTTCGGCGGGAGAAAGGAAGGAAAGGAAAGGACTCCAGTCACTCATTATAAAACACGGCATGCAGTTAGCTTCAGTCTAGAGCTACTGGCTCTTTAGTTTGGCGGGTAATGCACCTGCTGGCCTTGACAGCAAAAAACCCCCATTGGCACGTAGCAAGCCCAGAAACTAAGACCGGGAAGCACGATCCTGCAGCATAAAGAGAACGGTAGACTGGACCTAGGAGTGAGAAATGGCAGGAGACGAAAAAGGTCTGCCTACAGACGCTGGAGGCCGTGGCAGCCAGAAGGAAGATGGAGTATGGTGAGGCCGAAGAATGGATTGTTGTCAGAGAAAGATGGCGATATCATGGCGACATTGATGCCCAGCTGGCAAGAGATTGACGGAAACAAAAGGCAGTCCGAAAAAAAAACGTAAAAAAAGTTGATATGACATGACGATATGGGTGAGAATAACAACGTGATGCGAGAGAGGGGTATGGAATTAGATCTAGCCGAACCCATCCACAACAACACAGGGAGTAAGACCACATCGGCCTAGAACGGAGGGGGGGTTGTTGAAGATGGTGGTGGCCAGGTTGCTAGACGAACAAGATGGCCAGGTCCAGGCAGATGAGGCAAATGCCCCCCGACCGAGTGTTGGTGTTTGGTCTTGGCCGTCGGTTTGGTTTGAAGGAAGTAGACCAGTGTAGGGCTAGGGATGGGGGGAGGGGGTGGGTGATGGAGGAAGGACGACGTTGGTGACTGGGGATCGTGGTAAGAGGGGTGGGAGCAAAGACGACGGATTTGCAGATTGTGGAGAAGGAAAAGGAATTGGTGGAGCAAGGAAATAAAGTAAAAAGGCTAACAACCAACGACACCCATGTGGCTACTTACAAGTGTTTTGAGGTTGGGCGGCGTCGTAGCCTGGGGTCTTTTCCGACTTATTGATTTCGGCCAATCGGCGTAAACAGGGCGCCGTCGTGGTATAAAGCTGTGGATGTGAGCAGGAAGAAATCAGAGGCGGCCGTCGAGTTGAATCACAAAATACAAAAATCAGAGCGGGGGGAAAATAAACAGATGGAATCGATGTAGGAGAAAGCAGTGCTCGTAAGAAAGTGGGCGGGAAGAGGGGAAAAGGGACCAAGGAAAGCGCGGAAGTATCGTGAGTTTTTCGAACGGTGTGTGTCGTACTCGTTGTGCTTCTTAGCCCGTCGGGCCGGCTGGACGCAAGGTCGAGACGAGCATCACAGGGCAATGAGAACCTAAGAGTAGCGCAGAATTAGCGGGGACTCAATTCTGTCCTCGTGGTCAATTTTTTTCGTCTGTCGCCAGGCACGATGCTGCTTCTTGTTGTGCTTGTCGTGCTTGTGGTTTTCGTCCCTTGTCTGTTCTCAGTTTATTCCCGCCCAGAGCCGTATCTTTTGTCCGCTTTCGTTTCCAGCCGGGAGGTTACCAAAAGGGCCCTCATTCAAAAGGAAATGTACTCGGCCACAGGGGAAGAAAATCCCGAGGCGACAAAGTGTCGTGTGATGCTGGCAGGATACTGGGGGCGTATTGATGAACCAATCGAGGCAAGTCCAGGAGTGAGATCTCGTGGGATCTAGAGTCGTTGCAGATGGGCTGGACAAAATGCAAATACAGCCAAAGGACGGGCCAGAACCATGTTGAGACGCGGATGCGGAGGAGATGGAAAGCGGAGTAAAGGAGATGGGAGGCCGCGAAAGGCAGGGGGAATGAAGGAAAGAAAAGGGGAAAACAAAGAGCAGAGGAAATTGTGGAATGATTAGAAAAGCAACGAAAAGCAACGAGAATTCAGAGAGTTATGACGCATGGCGTTGTCGCATGAAGAGCTGCAATAAGTGTTGCACTGCTGCTCCAGGCAGTTCGAGATAAGAAAAGGCCGTTTGCTTGCTTACCTTGTTCAAGTGATCAGCACAGACTGGAGAGATGAGCAAGGCGAAGAAAGACGAAAAAAAAAAAGACAAAGAGTAGGAATATCAGATCGAAAAGCAAAGATACCTCAAAGGTGAACTGGCAGTTGATCGCTGTTGCGAGGCACAATCGAAGCAACCGGTACGGAGTAAGAGGTGAAGGGATGCTTGTGTCACCCAAAGAGGCAGGTATTGTCGCGAAAGACCAGGACGAGATAAAGCACACAAGGTGAACTGCAAGAGGCGAAAGCCTTTGCAAAGAATGGCAGAATGGCCAACCGTGAGTGCGTGTGCCTCTGAGCGATGTCGCAATCTGTTCTTGTAATTTGCGCCCTGGGCTGGAAATAGTGTTGCGCTTTTAGGCTGACCTGACACACATTTGCACCGTTTCAATCAAGGGAACTGGCTGTATGTCGTAAGCCTGTTGTGTGAGGGAACGTAGTACCACGAGGCTAGGGACAAAGTAGGCGACTTGGGGCCAGCCTCGAGTACCTGATAAGACAAGGAGACGGTCGTCGGTTGCGCACCACAGTATTTCCCAAAGTGTTTCTCTGTCCGACAAGTGTTCAGGGCGGAGGTCTGTCGTACGCGGTGCTGAGATCGGCCTCGTGTAGTCCTTTTCGTCGTACGTGCAAGAAGCGATTCTCTGTCCAAAACGCTCCTGAGTGAGTTGAGGACAGGGAAGAGAGGGGCGACAGCGCAGGGGTGTGCCGTTTTTGCTGTCCTTGCGAATCTGATAAGAACCTTTCGATGGATGCGCACGCAATGTGATTGGTCGAAAGACACCGGGATCGCAAAAATGACGAACGCAAATTGTCAAAGGCCGAAGAGGTCTGTTAAAAAACAGCAGTGGAAATTAAGGAAAAGATGACGGGGCAAATAAACAAAGAACAGAGATGGCCAAAAAGGGGGCAAAAATTGGAATACGGGATAAAGCAGAGAGGAAAGACAGCAGCCGTACCTTCTGTTTGGGCCAAGGAAGGTGCAAACGGATGCTGGATGCGAAACGGGCAACTGCGAGTCAGCCTGTTCCAAAAGGGCCCCGAAACGGACAGGAAAACTTTTTCTCGCCTCTGGTTGGCTCTGCACGCTGCAAAACACACTGCTAAGACGGTGCCGCTCGGCATGGCTCATACGGGAGGAGGGGTGCAGGAATGGCAAAAAGATACGGCCGACTACTCCGTACAACAATGGTCGTTCACGTCTTTCGCCTTACTCTGATTCCTGTTCCCTTTGGGTTTGGGTGGCTCCGATTGGACCTTCCGATAAGCATTCCGGGAGTATCTGCAAAGTTCTTTCGCTGTTGGCCGATTGCACCTGCCGTTCCTCCCGCCCTGTCTTGCCACTTTCTGTTTTGGGGACATGTTGCTTAGAACGTTGCTCGCACAGGAAAGGGCTCGCACTGAGGATCGAACTTGCTTGGGAAAGAACGATGGGCGACGGACGGGAAGGCGGCGGAAGGGGGTTGAGATTAGGTAAAAAGCGAGCCGCGAATTGGTCGAAGGCAAAGCTGGTGCTGGGCTGAGCGTCAAATGCCGACCCCCAGTTTCTTCCTCCCTGGCGGCGCGCATGGGCCAAGTTTGACCCGGTAAACAAGCACATCGGCCCAGAAGAGGAGCAAAGAACAAATCCGTTTTGAGAGTGGGATGCCGCGATCGCAAAAGACGAAAAGATCGAGAGGAAAGAACGATCAGAGTGCTACGGAAGGAACATTGAGACACATAGGGGATTGTCTTAATTTAAGGACGTTTGAGACTGGCTCTTTCTCTCCTTATCCGTGATCGCTCAATCCGTTCTTTCCCCCCATGCCGCGGACATACTGATAACAATGCTGGCAACTTTCGTGGGTGAGGGAAGGCACGATCCAGAGACCCAGTGTGGAAGTTACGGAATAGGCTCGAGTCACTATCAATTCCCCACGGCGCGCGATAAAGCTGTGCAGCGCAGCGATGCAGCGAGAACTGTCGGTGTGCCTGCCTACCTGGTCATATCATATCTTTGCGTCTCTTGCAGAGTGGGATATCAAAGAGACACAGTCTGTGGGTAGGTCGAGAACAGCAAGGTGAATGTCTAAAATTGGGCGCGGCCGAACAGGGCCCAGAATTGGCCCAGAGCCATTCTCGCAGCTTCCTCTCCCAAAGCGCTACGAGGCTACTTGCTCCTTCCACCCTTCTGCGCGTCAATTGTCCATGGTTTGAAACAGAGGGCTGGCAACATTTGGCGGAAGACGCGTTGTGCACCGCCAGGCAAGAGCACGCCTGCGGTTCTTACAGGCAAGGCAATTACGATGAATGACGTTCGTCAGGGGGCTTGTCATACCGAGATTGGGTGCGTTCGCGACTTCCTCATTGGTACATTAGGATTGTTGATAACAATTTTGGAGCGCGACTGGTGAGACGGTCACAGTTGAACCCCGCATGCGATTTCCTGATTGAGACGGACGCATGCTGGCATGCTGTTTGTTGCTGTTTTCACAGCCTGACAACACGCCCCTCAGCTTCGATGTCTTGCCAAACGGTCGGGATTTGCTTTTGCCCGTTTCGTGCGGACCCACTTGCAAGGGATCTGCCTTTCCTTTTTCAATACGGAAGGACGGCGCACGTGAGTAGGTCAAAGGTTTGTCTGTTCCATTCAGGACGGGAATCTATCATCGTAGCATCGTGGCATCGCGGCATCGCGGCATCGTGGCATCGTGGCATCGTGGTCGCCATCGAGTGCCTGCATCCCGCGAGACGCCAACCAACACGTCAGAAGCAATCAGAATTTGCAAATGGGCCAGCGGACTGGATCTTCAGGTCACGAGCGCGGCATCAAGTGGATTCCATCTCGTTATAGATTGCTCGAAGAGAGGAATAGCAGGGGAACGAGGTCCAAGGCAGTGGACGTTCTTTGGGTCTTGACAATGTCAAAACATCAAATTAAAAAGCTCTTATCAGTTTCGTGGTCGATCGTGGACGCGCACCGTGATAGGTCCAAGGCTGAATGGTTGTCTAAGCGTTGTCTAAAGCCATAACTAACACAAAGGGCGGCAGCGAAACAGAATGCAGCGTTTTGCCATGCAAAGGCGTTTCCATTACACAAAGAAAGACGGGGAACGGGGCTCTAGGGGAGCAGAGTGGTAAGGCAAAGATCATTGTAAATGGTGGCGTGGCGGCCTGGCGGCCTGGCGGCTTGAACATCAGAAGAAAAAAAAGTCTGGGAAAAAGTAAGAAAAAACTGTGAGAAAGTGGGCCGTTCAACGTTTCGATTACGTACAATCGGCGTCTCTCCAGGCGTCCTGGGGCGACCTTTGGGCGGGCATTGGGCTTCTTAACGATAAGTCGACGACGTATGTCTTGGCTGGACGGACCTGAGAGAACCGTTTGAGCCGCGTTTTTGCTAGCGGCGAGGCGGACATCTCCGCGGAATGCCAACCTGCTGAATTCAGAGCCTGTGATTGGTCGACAGAAGGCTGTCAACACGGCGACAGTTTTCTTATCAGCGGCCTAACTTTTGGTGGGCCAGGACGCTGCTCACATGGTCTCGATGGTGTCTTTGTGCGAGATAGTTGGCTGTACGGCGTATGTCGTACTGAGCATGCCGCACACACATGCATGATTCGTGTTTTGACGCCGTCCTTTTCAACATTTGGATTGCTGGTGACGCGAGGGCCTCTAGCTGCAGTTGTATATTTTGAACTATTTTATCAATTAAATTTGAATTAATTTCAAATCGGCCGCTTTGCTGGTGGGCTCGAGACACCTTGTGCGTTCCCACTGCAGCGGACGGTGGGACTCGTCACAGCGACGCTGCTCACCGCCAGATGCCAAGGACGAGACGGCCTCGGCCGAGGAGGCGCTGCGCTGCGACGGAACATGTCTGGGACATGTACGGATCTTTATGGGCATATAACGAACGGCACGTCGGGCGAGTTTTGTAGTCTTCCGTGTCCTACTCCGTCACAGTAGTACGAGATACTACCTGTCCAAGTTCGCACACCAGCTCGCGCCTACTGCAAGCTTGGATCCGGCTGGTCCCACATGCCGGCGGCGACGTAGTTGATGTCGTTGATGACCGAGTTCTCGCCGGTCCACTCGGTTTCTTGGCTGTTGACGACGCGGATGCCACTGTCGACGGTGCCCCAGTCGAGGGCGTCGAGGGACAGCGGGATCCACGAGTCGTAGCGCGAGGGAGCGCCCATGTTGTTGGTGGCGCCGGCGGGCAGCTGGGAGGGCGGGACGAGATCGCGGCGAGAGAAGCCCATCTGGGCATCGCTGGCCGACATGTCGAGGGACGCCGGTGGCGGCGGCTGGCCCAGGGGATGGGCGGCGGGCATCACTGTGTCTTTTATGCCGACTGTCTTGTTAGGTGTCGTGTAGAGGAAAACAAAAATGACAGAAGGACAAAGATAGCTTACGAGTCTGGAGAGTGGCCTGCGACAGGGCCGGCACGCCGCCGACAAAGACCGGATCGACCTGGCCGTGCAGGCTCCCCATCCCTGTGGACTGCGGGGTGTTGTAAGAGTGGGAAGAGTGGCCCGGCTGCGACGACGGGTATGACCACTGCGCCGAGGCGGAGCGGGCGTTTTGTTGTTGCTGTTGCTGTTGCTGGTGGTGGTCGGGCTGGGTCTCTCGGCGGTTGTCAGGCGGCGGCGCCCAGTCGGGCGGGCTGCCGTTTTCGCGCATCTCGCGGGCGTAGATTTTGCGCAGCATGACGTTGAGCAGGTCGGCGGCCTTGAGGGTGTCGCTGTTCCTCTCGGCGGCGTCGGTCCAGATGCGGTGGGAGCGGCGCAGCAGTTCGATGAGGGCGTTGCGATCCACGGGTAGCGCCGGCGGGACATCGTAGTCTGCGGTGGCGGTGGCGGTGGTGGCGGCGGCGGTCGCTCCTGCTGGTGCTGCTGTGCCAGTCGACCCGGGCGCACCGCCTCCGGAGGAGGAGACCGAGGCAGACGCCATTGCGCCGCCGCTGCTGCCGCCGCTGCTATTGGTTGCTGGCCCGGACGGCGTCGCCGTTGCCGCCGCTTCAGTATTGCTCGTGGGGCAACTCGTACTGCCGCCACCGCCATCACGGCTCGTCAGCAGCTCCGACTCAAACAGGTTGTCGTTCTGCACCACCAGGTACACAATCATGGCCGCCAGCAGGAAGTCGTGCATGCCGAGCCCCGTGATGAACCAGCCAATGTGGTGCAGCAGGCCGCCCGGCTGCGTGGCCTCGTGGATGGCCTCGTGGTAGGCGAGCAGAGTCAGCGCGGACTGCAGGCATGTGCGGCGCGAGTAGGCGTGCTCGGGCAGCGGGACGGCCTCGACGAGGTAGGGCCGGTGCAGCACGCAGCGGCTCTTTTGGTAGAGCGAGGCGATGCCGAAGCGCTGGATGACCTGCATAGGCGGGTCGGCCACGCAGTCGCCGAGCGGGCGGACCTTCATAAAAGCCGGGATCTGGCGCCACTTGTCCTCGAGCAGGCGGTCGGTGCGCAGGACCTCGGCGTACTTGGGCGGCGTCAGCGTGTGGGCGAGGCGGGCGACCTGGCCGAAAATGCGGCAGAGCATGCTCTTGAAGATGGGGTAGCTCATGACGGTGTACTCGGAGTCGGGCCGCGGCGGCGGCAGCACGGGCGAGTCTTCGTTGAAGTCCTCGTCCAGCAGGTTGTGTGCCAGGCTCGTGTCGCTGGGAATGCCGTGGATCATGCTGGGCAGGCCGAGGTAGAAGGAGACGATGAGGTCGATCTGGATGGCCAGGTTCCACAGCCGACGGCGCATCTCGCCCTCAAAGGCGGAGATGTTGGGCAGGCGGCTGGGGTCGCGGTGCAGGCCCATCTTGAGCATGAGCCGGATGCACACCGCCAGCAGCAGGAAGCAGTTGGTCTGCGTGGCGCGGTTGACGAGGAACTCGGACTCGGCAAACATGAGCATCGCGCGGACCGTGTGCAGGTTGGGGCTCGAGAAGCGTGTCATGCCAAGCGCCGCCGAGGCCGCGCCCCGGTACACGCGGTACCGTTCCGTCGGGGTCATGCCTGTGCCGTCCATGTCGAGCTCGTGCGGCGCGGAATACGTCGAGAAGTGCACGCCCAACGCCAGGATGTTGAACAGCACGGCCAGAAAGTCGACGTCGGCGTTGGCCGGGTCCTGCCAGAACTCCTTGTACTTGCGCGAGAACGACGGTCGATGGAGGGTGTCTGGGATGTTAGTGTTGGTTCTCATAGGTCATAGGTCTCTCTAGTTATTCAAGTACACATAAGCTGCACCCCCCCACCCCCCGAAACTTACGCTGCGTCGGCGTGTTGGATCCAAAGTACCGCGCAATCAGCCGGTCCACCACAAGCCGCGGCGGCATCACTGCCAGCAGCTCGGCCCGCGTGCGCGGCTGCTGTCCGCCCAGCATCAAGTGCTCCGGCGAGTCGCCAGCCGCCGGCGACACGTCCTGCCACTCGTCCTCGGGGACGTTCTGCGGGTCGTCAAAGTAGGCCTTGAGGTCCTCGATGTCGTCGAGCATCGCCATAAAGTGCGTCGCGCCCACATACGTCGTCCCCCGCTTCCCCCGCACAACACGGCCCTTGCCGCGCGCCTGTGGCGTCGGGTGTGGATGCGAATTCGGATGGGCATGCGGATTCTGACTGCCGCCGGCATTGTCGCCCGCCGCCGTCGTGGCGGTCGGGGGGATCGGTCTGCCCATCCCGTCGTAGCCCTCGGCCTCAGCGTCGGTGAGCGTAGACACGAAGGACGGCTGGCCGTCGGTCGCGCCGTTTTTGACCCCGTTGGCCAGCAGGTCGGCGCTCGACACGCCAAAACTCGACATGGCTGCGGCTGCGGTGTCGTCGTCCATCATCTCGCGCAGCATGCCCTCGAGCCGCCGCAGCCGCGACGCCATGCCCTTGGCCGGCTTGGCGGGTTTCTTGGGCCGCGGCGCATACTCGCACAGGTCGATGCGGTCCTTTTTCAGGCAGTTGCCGCAGGGCGACTCGCGGTCGCACTTGAGCTTGGACACGCGACACGGCGCACAGCTCAGCAGCACGCGTGTTCGCTTCGGCTGCGCATTGTCTCCGCCGGCCGCACTGGCTGCCGGGTTGGCGGCCACGTTCGATGTGGTGCTCGCCACCGTACTTGCTGCCGTCGTCGACGCAACGCCGCTTCCTGCCCCAAAGCCGTCGCCGTCGCCGTACACCATGTCGTCGAGCATCACCAGGTTCCGTTCGACCTCCATTCTCGACATGGTACTTGCGTGGTGTAAGTGTGTTCCACGTTCCAAAACGGGCTCGACGGCAGATTCAGACGCATCCACAGCGCGCACTAATATGCGAGTCTCGTCTGTTTCTTGCCCCCCACTGTTGTCCAATGCGGTCCAATGTTGTCCGAGCCGGTCCAGAGTGAGATTTGCTGCCGTGTCGGGCCCTGGTTGTCCATGTTTTGCCTCCTCGCTCCGGCCTCCTTGCAGGTACCGGATTTTGGCTTGTCGTTAGCGGGTGCTCGTGCCGCATTACTAAGCCAGAGGGGCCATGCGTCGGTAATATCGCCCGCTGTATGTCGCAGCATGCCCCTGGCTGTCACATTTCAGCGCCCTAAATTAGGCATGCTAGCCAAGCGCCGTTCGCTAAGCCCTAGCAGGCGTCGGCCCTATTCAGCAACCTTGCAGGCATGCGACGTTTCTTTTCTTATTTCCACTTCCTGGTCTTGGTCGTATTCGGTTCCGATCTTCGCGTACTTTGGCAGGTGATGCGTCCTGCGGTTAGATGTTTCTTACTCTTAGAGTAAAGGGTAAAGACAAGTGTTGCCAAAGGGTGTCGTTGTCAAAAGACAAGGGTAAAAGAAAAGAAGTGTGGAAGCAGAGTCTAAAGAGGCAAAAGTAAAAGGTAAGAATAAAAAATGATATTCCAAGAAAATCGTTGCGTCATCACTTCGTAAAGAACATAAAAAACCATGAAGAGGAAATACCAAAAGAAACAAAGAAATGCTATCTCGCTCCGTCATCCCGACTCCGTATACAACGTACGACATGTACATAGCCCCCTCAGCCTCACGATTTTGAGTCCGGAGACTCTCGTCTCTGCACTTACCGCGGCCTATGCACTGCCAGACGCCTCGCCCTCGCCATTGTGTTGTTGCCTCTCTTCAGCCGCCGAGGCAGTCAAGTGCCGCCGGACAACCAGGTCGTTGCGCAGGCGGTCTTCGTTCAGGGCCGTGCGCGCTGCCTCGCTCGCGTTCGACGACGCATTGCCAAAGAGACACGTCCACAGATCGCCCTTGGCCACCTCTTCGCCTGCCATCTTGCCCTTGCTCATCAGCTTCGACAGCTGCGCCTGCTGCATCTCCAGCGAGTTGGCCAGCTCCAGACTGCTGTCCAGCAGCTCCGGTGTCTCGTTGCCTCGACCCTTGCCTTTTCCTCCGCTCTGCAGCACGCTGCTGCTGCTGCCACCGCCGCCCCTTCCGTCCCGGCCCATGTGCGCCACGCGCCGCTTCACCGACAAATCGTAGATGGACGCTTCCACTGTGCCGTCTACAATGTACAGCCACACCGTCGTCTCGTGCTGCTGCCCAATCCGGTGCACCCGCGCAATGGCCTGCAGCTCGATGGCCGTATTGAGCAGCGGCTCACACAGCAGCACGTGGCTGGCGTTCACCAAGTTGAGTCCGCTCGCGTGTGCGCGCGCGTGCAGCAGAAAACACTCGATGCTCGGGTCGTCTTTGAAGCGCTCGATACCGTTGCGGTCCGTGTAGCGCGAGAAGGCAATGTGGTAGCGCCGGAATGCCTCCGCCAAAATCGATAGAAACGCCGGGTACTGCGAAAACACAATCGATTTGGCGCCCGGGTCGGTGCTCCGCAGCCACAGCAGGTGCCGCACAATCGTATCCACCTTGGTTGTAAACGAAGGGCCAGGCAGGTCAATGTTTTTGATCTCCTCTAGCTTGTCCGTGCTAAAGGCTGCGTAGATGTTTGCCTTTTTTGACTCAGCTAGCTGTTCTCGTTGTTTTTGTTGTTCTTTCTCTTGTTGCTGCTCCTGCCGGTCTTGCTGGCTTCGCCCGTCCTGTCGGTCAGTAGCTCTGTTGCTGCCACCATGCTCGTCAGTCACCTTGAGCGCCTGTCGTTTCAGTGTGATGTCGTGCAGGTTGTCGATGGTGAGCTTGCGCTTGCACACCGGGCAGTTGCGGTGCGCCTTGAACCAGAGCGTGATGCATTCCTTGCAGAACTGATGCCCACAGACGGTCAAGACACCCGTCCAAAACTCCGTCTGGCAAATCACGCACATGCGTGACTCGTCTGCTTTCGATTCGGCCTCCTTGAGATGAACCACTGCGTATCGTTAGCTTCATGAGAGCAAACCCCAAAATAACCAAACAAAGGGGAAAGGAAAAATGGCAGAGACTGACAGTAACGATGCTTGGCCTCGGCTTTGGTCAGGACTTGGAGCAAGTCGTTCTCTTCGCGAATCTGCGTCGCAATCGTCTCCTCATCCTTCGGACCTTCGTATAGGGCCACCATGTCCGACACAGCCTGCAGCTGCCGGTAGAACGCGATGCGGGAGTTGAGCGCATTGCGCACCTTGTTTGCCTCCTTCTCGAGTGCCGCATTGACCTTGAGCTGCCGCGTCTGCTCATCCTGGGCGCGCTTGAGTTGCCGGGTCACGCACTCCAGCTCCATCTGTGCGCGCTGGCTGGTAATGTTGTTTAGGCTTGACCCGCTCGACAGCTGCCCGCGCAAACGCGACGCAATGTCGCGCAGATCAATCACAGCGGCGCGGAGGGATCGCACGACAGCACCACCTGTGGTCGGCTTCGGCAGCGTGGCCTGGCGCTCGGCGAACAGGCGGAGCGTAAGCTCGGGCGCCGGCCCCTCGTTGTCTTTGGCCATGCGCAGCGCCAGCCGTTCTTCGTAGAGCGCGAGACCGCTGGGCGCAAGGCCTGTGAGCAGCATGTTGCGGTCGCTGATGCCGGCTTTCAGAATCGTAATATACGCCTGGATCTCGTCTTGCACTTTGGTCGAGTCCTCGTACTCGTCGCCTGTAATCTCGACGGCCTCACCGGCCTTGTCTTCGTCGTCATCTACCAGATCTTTGAGAAGAAGTTGAATCACAGCCTCGCGCCACGCATCCATCTGTGCTGCCTGCGTGCTCAGGACCTCGGCAAGGTGGTCCAGCTCGTCGCTGATGCGCCGACCCTCAATGCCTTCGGGCTTGGCAAACTCGGTCTCGGGGATCTCCACGAAGCCCTGCGTCCCGGCTTTGCCTGCCAGATCAGCCATGAAGCGCATGGCCCTGCTGCGGTTGTCCGCCAAAATTTCCTGCCGAACGCGCTTGGCTCGCTCGTATCCTTCGACTTCGAGCTTTTCCAGCCGCCGAAACTCGTCCGAATCCGGCCGTGTCCATTCTGCGTTGGACTTGATCTGAAAATAGCCGTTGGCGCAGAAGAACTCGGCCTTGTGTAGAATTTCGAGGGCAAACCGCAGATCGCGCTGCGCCTCGCCAACACGTCCACCAGCCTTGCCACGACCATCTTCATCGCCCAGGAGGTCATCGTCATCGTCGGTGTCGGAGCTCTCGTCGCCTGGACTCGTTTTGTGGGGACCTGACGTGCCAGCCGCCTCCTCTTCCAGGGCCGTCTCCTTTTGTGCCTTTTCGAGCTTGTCACGTGCATCCTGGACGAGCGCTCTGCTTTCTTCCAGAACGTCTTGCCAAATGTCGACGGCGATCTTCGCGCGTGGCGAGTTCTCGAATAACTGGCCATGTTTCAGTTTGCATGACAGCATCGCGCGTCGGGTGGCAAGCAAAGCGCTCTCACTCTGCTCAATCATGGCGTTGAGCACCTCCTCCACTGTACGCATGGGCCCTGCACGATGCCCAACACGGGGATTGTGGACACCAATTTCGGGGTGCAAAGCAGTCTGGCGTAGGCGGCTGAGCGCCGTGCGCATGGCTTCGAGAACGGCACTGTCGTTGGGGTTCCAGTCAGGGGAGAGGGGGCCACCCGCCGTGTCGAGGCCGCACGCCTCGGTGAGCTGTTTAAAGAGGCTCTGGTAGTGTTGTTCCTCGACCGCCGTGAAGGGCATCGTGATGACATAGCGCTTCTGCGGTGGGATCACCAGCTCGTCGCCGACCGTTCGTTTGGAGTGGCGTAAGGCGATCCGCCCGAACAAGTTGCGGAACACACGCTTGTGGTTTCGTGTGAGATTCTGCCAAACTTTCGGTATGGAAGCATATGGCTCGTAGGAAAGAAATAGCAGCAAGCCGCGCAAATCCTGGACATCGTCCTTGACAGGCGTTCCAGTCACACCCCAAGCATTGACGCGCGGCACAATCCGCACGAGCGTCGCTGTATTGCTAACACCGTTTTCAATCTCCTGTGCCTCGTCGAGACACACGCGCCACCAGGACATCTGAACGAGCGGCGACCGCGGCCGGTATCGTTTTACGTCGTCGGATTGACTACGCATGTTGCGCTCAGGCGGGGCCACGGCAAAATGCAGTTCTGATTTGAGGTCCGAGTAGGTCGTCACAACCACATCGTGCGTCGCAAACTGCTCCACGACATTGGCTTCGTCCTCGGGGGTGGAGCATGACCGCGCCATGCCAGAGTACACCATGACACGCAGGTGCGGTGCGTGCTGCTGGATCTCGGAAATCCACTGGTTCTTGAGGGCCGGCGGAGCAATCACCAATGTTGCGCCTGTCGGGCGAGCGGATGGCGTTGGGCCTCTCGGCGAGGTTGGCGCATCCAGTTGGTCTGCTGGTCGAGGGTGCAGGAGAACCAGCGAGATGACTTCGACAGTCTTGCCGAGACCCATCTCCTCGGATAAAATGCCACCACGTATGCTGTTCTCGTAGGCTTCAAAGTAGGAGGGGTCGCGCGTCGCTGCGCCAAACAGTTGGCTGATGTAGCAGGGATTTCCGTCCGCATCCTTCACTGCGACAAAATGCGAGGTTGTCTCCCGGTCTTCTGGGGCCTTGTAGGGGACGACGACGGAGGGCTCGCTATCGTCGATAGTGCCACGCGATACAGACGTTGCTTCATCAGGCGCCCACCGAACACCTTCTCGCCGCAGGAGCCACTTGACGGCACGGCGCTGGAAGGGGAAGAGGTTGGCGGTGAGACCCGGCACATAGAGGTCGTCTGATTCGTCGTCGTCCTTGCGCGTCACATGAGCAGACTCGTAAAAGTCTTGGGGTGACCACGTATCGTTGTCGGTGGCGTTTTTATATTGATGCCCGCCGCCGTGCACAACATTTGGGAAGAGTGTCGCCAGGACCCGCGCCTGCCAAACACGCTCCGTTTCACTGTGCATGAGATTCGAGACATAGGAGCACAACATCCATCGCAGCTCCAGGTCAATGACCAAAGACACAGTGTCCGCGTTGCTATCCACATCAACGCTGAAAAAGTAGGCCGTAAACAAACAACCCGGCAGTGGATCGACCGACGTGCTCTTCTTTGCGAGGTGGTCCAGGATCAACCTGTCGGCATCGCTGAGGCCACCAATATCGTCTGGTGAAAATGCACCATCGCTGACGGCGGGGACCTTGCGGCCTCTGGCCGTAATCGAAAGGCCCTTGCCACTACTGTAGCGCAGAGCATAAAATGAGTTGGCTGGGATCCGGCGAAGCCGTTTTGGTGGCGGCGCGTCGTCCTCGGCTGCCCGCGAGAACCTCAGCGTGCATCTTGCGAGCGGGACATAGTCCTTGTGGGTGTCAGATCTGACGGTTTCCTCAGTCTTTGCACGTTTTGCTGGCGGTTGTGAGACTGCAATATCGTCGTCGTCGCTCGAGACGAGATTGATGAAATCTTGATGCGGAGGCGTATTGTTGCCCGCCCCCAGCTTCGCGATCTGGTGGACGGTAAAGAAAAACTCATCATCTACCGCGTTTGTCAGAGACTGGCGGCATTGTTCAACGCCGGATATCAGATATCATAAGACGAAACAAAAGCAATAAATTGATTCCACTCTCATGCTTGAGTTTCTTGCAGTATAGGGAAGAGGCAGTAAAGGTAGGCAGAGTGTGGCGATGCATGGCAGACATATTTGAGAAATGTAGATCGAGATGCAAGAGTAAAAAACAAACAGAAAAGAAATACAATCATACCTCGAAGGCCCAGTGGCAAAGGAGAAAGGAGACGGCCAGTGCTCACAGTGGAACCGAGACCGCGTCGCGCAATCGGACGGCGTGCCCGGCCCATGACTTTCGATGGTTTCCGTGATGGAAACCCGGGTCGTCCGACGCGTTTGTTGATGAGGCAAAAGGATAAAAACAATTTGTAGGAGGGAGAGTGCAGGAAGGGGGGAAGGGCTGCACGACGTTCGAGGTCGGAGTTGACTTAGACCAGGCAAGAGCCTTATCGCTTATCGGACCCCTGGCGCAATTCTGCCCGTGTTGCCTCACCGCCACGTGATGTCTGTCTCCACATATCGATAGAGTGCGTAGATTTGCCCGTCGCTCTTTCCTTCATAAGTCCGAATCGCCCGGCTGTAGACTCCGTAACTCCAGCCAAACTTCGCCCCCAGGCTCTGAATACAGTATTCTTCAAGAACGCTCCTCGTCTTGGAGGCATCTGCTCCTGTTACCTGCCAGGATGCCTAGCCCAACTCCCTTCTCCAGCCAGGACCAAGTCTTAGCGCTGTAACTGACAAGGCTTTGGTGGGGCCTTGTGATGGGAAAAAGAGGGACGCGACCTGTGCGTCACGGCAAGGGCGCGCCCCAACGCGGGTATTACATCCTCCATGGGCGGGAAGGATCGAGCGGACGAAACGAACGAAACGAGCCATTCTTTACGTCTTCCATAGCAATCTACGCCTGTAAATCAAGGAAGAGGCAACTACAAATCGAGAACGTACGGACGTCAGTCCGGCGCTCTTTCCTCTGGCGACGAAGCCTCAATTGCTCTTTCCTTTGGAGTACAAAGCCTCCGGCACACCTTCCTTTGGAGAACAAACCGCCGAAGTCGTAGCAGGTAAGAGCGAGTTGGCAGCAAGGAAAGAACAGGCCGTCAGGCCAACCCAACATGTGACCACGCGACAGGATGGTGCACCTTCTCAACGACCAAATTCAACGCAACCCCCGCCTGCCGTTAATGACGTCCGATAGAGTCGCTTCCTCTTCTCCTTCGACATTTCTCCCTGCCCCTCCATCTACCCCAACTGTGTCTCGCATCCGACATCGCCAACGAATTACGACGACGACGTCTGCCTTTCTGCCTTGCTGCCAGCCATGGACAGACTCGAATTTCGCACAATTGGCAAATGGCTAATGCAATAAAAGCAGAAACAAAAATCAACGACAGGAGAACCCGCGCCTCAGCGCAATCCACAAATCGCTGGATATCTCGTTGTCTTGGAGGCGAAAACAGATAAAGAAAACGAGGGAGAATTCAAGAGTCGGGCCCTGCAACGAATGTATATCCAAATCGGCCAGCATCCGAGCGTCTCGTGCATCGAATCTCCAGTCGCTCTCCACCGCCTGGCTTGCCGTTTCGGTGGTGCTCCGTGTCAGATACACCACTACTGTGAGTCACGGGCAGCGCTCAAATTACAGCAGCTCAACTCACAACTGACGGCAGTCTTGAAATCATTTTCCTGGTGTTTCAATCCATTTCGACTTCTTTTCATTTCATTCCCATTTTATTCATTTTTGATTGCCTTGTTTTGTCATCGCCTTTGTATTTACACCGCTGTTTTGACCCCTTTCCAAGACCTGTCATTTCATCTTTCTCCCAATGACTCGTCGATGACTGCGTCACACTTTTGGCTGATGACCCGTTTTTGTATTTGAACCGCGAGGCTTCTCTCTTTCTGTGAGTCTTTGTTCTGTCCGACAACTCGTCGCAATCAATTGTGTCAATTTATCTCCAAGTCATTGAATGATACCACTTCGACATCGCCACGGCCAGTCATCAGCGTTCTGACTCTTTGGCCTCACCTTTCCCCCCTTCTGTGTCCCATTCCTCTCTTTCTCTCTTCACATTCACCATGGAAGCTCGCTGTCAGTGTGGTGCTGTCAGTTTCATGACGCCCACTGCCAAACCACTCGCCCTCTACATCTGCCACTGCCACGACTGTCGTCGCCAGTCAAGCTCAGCCTTTGGCACCAGTGCCATCTTCCCGCGGTTTCCCCTGCCGGACGATTCTCTCATTAGCTGTTATACGTGAGTGACCCCGTCAAGCCATGTGCAAATGCCGAATCAGACCTCTCTGGCCTGTCTAACTGTTGGCAGCCGTCCAACGTCGTCTGGTGCCACCCTTTACTGGTACGCAACTTTTCTTTTCTTTGTATACTTGTTGTGTCATCTGTCTCCTGCCCCCTGAAACGGCTCATCCCGTTCTATATTAAGAAAAGGCATCCTGCCAAGTCCTCAACAAAGCCAATTGACATATCGGAACACGTTCTAACTCTTCTTATTACGTTTCCATTAGCTACTTTTGCAAAAGCTGTGGCACCCGTCTACTCCACACGACGCCGGTAAGATAATCTTGCATATTTTCCCTCTCCCCCAGATCCCCTAGATCCCCCCAATGATCGTACCTTTCCAGTTGCATGGATGACTCATGTGGGACCTGCATCTGACTGTGACTCATCCTTTCCCTTCTTGCTTCTAGGGTAAAAACGTCGTCTCCGTCAAAGGTGGCTGTCTTGAAGGCCTCGACTGGCGCAGTGCCATTCACATCTGGACAAAAACCGCCATGGTCCCCATCCCCGAGGGCAGCGAGAGCCACTCGGAAGAGGCCGACTATACTGAGTACGGCTCCAGCCAGGAAGAGCTGGACCAACCGGAGATGCTCCGTGGCAGCGGTGGTGACGGCGCGCTGGATGCTTAACTGTTGTCAGTCGTGACAGCACGGCCACTTCCGTCTTCCCGTTGATTGTTTTCCTTGGGGTTTGTCTCGTTCTTTTTCCTATTCCTTTCATTCTTCAACGAATGATGCATGCATGGCAACGATGCAGTAATGATGAGATTTTGTTGGGTTTGTTGGCATTAGGTTTGTTTGGACTAAAACGGTGTTTTGTTGGGTAGGGGTTGCCGGTCGTTGGTTGTTGGTCAGCGTATATGCCACTTCTGTTTGGACTATTTAACATACACATATCATAGGGTTTTTGTATGACGTTTTAATTTACTTTCCTGTGCGTTTCTCGGAATACACCTGCCTAGGACTATTGCAATTTTTCTCATATGCAACCAGCAGCACCTGAAAAACTAACCAACAATGACAGTTAACCCGTGTGCGTCTTCAACCTTCTTTGCCTCTGGACACAACCACGCCTCGTTGCCTCTGTCTGTTTGCAAACACACCTGCTCGACAGTGCGTCCCAGAGCCACAATCGGCGCGTCCACCAGCCGCCAGAACAGGTCCGCCAGCCAGACCACCAGGCTGCCCAGGAAGAGGAGACCCACAAGCCAAGCCGTCATCCGCTGTACGGCCGTCTCCATACCGATGGGCTTGACCGACCTGTCCGTCATGTCTTTCCAGTAATCCAGGGCTGGTCCGTGGACGAGATACACGGCGTAGCTGATGCGGCCGCAGTATTGCGGCAGGGGGCGCTCAAACTGCCGCCGTGCCGCGGCGAACTCACCGCACGACCACACCAAAAGCACAGCGGCCAAGCCGAACCAGAACTTCTGCTCCAAGAGGGCCTCGCCCCAGTCTTCCCTTTCAGTCAACGCCTCGTCTCGCCCATTGCTGAGAAACCACGCCGGCGTATTGGACAGGAGCGTCCGGATTCCTGGTGTCTTGTCGGCGTCCTCGTTGGGCCATCCGGCGACAAAAAGACAGGCGGCAAGCACTGTGCTGTGGAAAGCCCCTACAGCGAGATGACTCAACGTCGTAGACCGATGGTCACCAGGCACCGCCGTCGCCGCCCGCAGGACATGCACCTCCGCCAAAAAGAAGCCCGCCAGAAACTCAAATGCCGCCCATCGCCCGCATGCCAAGCAATACCCTGCGAGAACGCCAGTGAGCACCTGCCGTAAATGTGTGCGAAGCGGCGCCAGAGCGAGGAGCACGACAAACAGCAGCATGGCATGTGAAAACTCAATCGGAATGGTCCACAAGTGGATGTCATAGCCGGGCCGCAAGTCGCGGTCCCACGCCCACGGCCAAGCAATGCGGCCCGCATACATTTGAGCCCAACTGTGCAGCTGTCCAGCCCACGTGGTATCGGCGGCGTACAACTGACCGGTTTGGCAAAGAACAGCGACGGCGAGCGTTGACACGGCGCACGGCAGAAACAGGCGGATGGGTCGGCGAAAGGCCAAAGACGCGAGTGCAGAGTAACACGCTCCGAAACCTTCGGGGCCGTGGAGAAGGCGCAGTGGTTTGTAGGAGAGCACAAATCCAGAGATGACAAAAAAGACATGCACTGCCGGCCGACCAGAATAGAGAACACGAACAATCGGGACCTGAAGAAAGGATGAGGTGGGGGCAAGGCCAATATCGCCGCTGTCGATGCAAGGAAGCCGGTAGTGTCCGTAAGTGGGTAGCAAATGGTCGTGGCGCTTCTCAGTATAGTGACATATGAAGACAATAACGGAGGCAATACCGCGGAGGCCATCCAAGTAGGACGTTGAATGCAGCCTTGGAGAGCGGTGGCAAGAATGGTTGTGGCAGGGCTCTTTAGGCCACACGGCGTCGGCCACGAAGCTGGGTAGAAGGGATCGAAGGAAGTTGGATGGAGTGACTTGCCACACTCTTCGCGAGAACGCCATTGTGAGAGACTGATACGGCCTTGAAATGGAAGAGATGGCGTGTTGTGTTAGGTGTTCTGTTATCAAAGGTGCTCTTTCGAGGACATGTCATGACATGAGCGAGGTCAGTCGGCAGAATTAGAAAATGGAACGAGAATGCCGCCGAGTTTTTAAACGGCTAGTCCGATGCGTCTAGTCGTCGTCAAAAGAATGTGTCTCTCGAAGTGTTATTTTTGGTCGTTCGATATCTCGCTTCACTACCGCCCGTCTCTAGCGGGCCCTAATGGTTGTGTCTCCTTGTCGTGATCCTATTGATGGATCTGTCTGGATCATGCATTTCCGACTGCAGATGGCATTTGACAGAACAAAGTACGTAAGGTGCGGGTCCGTCATCCCGTATTGCACCTATTTGAGTCTGTATGGAAGATCAGGACAGCCGGCGGGTATAGGCTGAGAGATGACGGAAGCGGGACTGGGAGTGGAAGTGGAAGCGAAAATTGCAACTGTGAAAGTGTGAGAATGGAGTTATTGTTATCGGTCGTCTCATGAAACCCCTGAGCGACGTTTAATGTGCATAAACACGGAAAGAGCTGGCGAGTCTCGGACGGGAAGGATCGGAGGACACATGTTGGACAAGGCTTTTATTCCTTGTTTGGGAAGGTAAACGAAATTTGGACTGGTTGGCTCTCGAGTGGACGCAAAAGGAAGGAGCGACCACCTTAAAAACTAAATCCTTCGAGTATCACCATGTAAATTGGGAATATATCGAAAGCTACAATACTGGTTTCTTATTGATAATCAAGGATTTGTTTTGATTACGTGCGACTGGCGATTTCGTTTTATTAAAAAAATCAATTTCGTAAACAGAGAAATAAATAAATAATCATATAAAAAAGCAAGCAAAAATAAACAGACACACTCAGTAACGAATATACTGTTCCTCTCGATATATTTACCAACATTTTTTCCTGAATTCGGGGCAGAACACACTAAAACAAGAGTGGATCAAGTCTGGCCAATTGACTAACATGCTGGCAACGGCGACACGAGGCGAGATTAGTTGAAAGCTGCGAAATAAACCCCCCCCCCCCCGCCACCAAAAAAAATAAGAAGAAAACAAAACGAAAGCATCGAGTAACAAGTGAACAATACATGAAATACAAGTTTTGCCAGACTTTTTCGCTACTATATCTCTCTTGCTTCTCCGTCTCGTTCACCTTGGAGAGCCATATCCGTCACCGCTGTCTTCGTCGTCATACGACGCACGTTGTTGATGTATGATGGGCTCGTTGCCCGAGTTACCAAGCTGTGGTCCTCTGCTTACAAGGACAAAATTCTGACTTTGCCCATTGTTACTTGTGTTGGTATTTCCTGCGTTGGCAGAGTTGTTTCCGCCAGTCCCGGTGGGTGGCCTGGCTGCATTTTGATTCTGTGGCGTTGATCTGACCATCCCCGGCATCGACGGTTGCTGCTGGTGTTGCTGGTGTTGCTGGTGTTGCTGGTGTTGCTGTCTCTGCTGTTGCATGGGTCTATTTTGAGGCCCGGGATGACCTGTTGCTGATGGCATTGTACGTGGCGACTGCTTTGGCATCCCATGGCTGCTGGGGCTATTGTCGTCAAGGTCGTTGTTGTCGTGGTACCGGGAGCGCCCGGCATCCGAGGACGAGGGTGTGTGCATGTGGAAGTTGCCTTTGGAGCCTTCGTCACGGTGGCGACGGCCTTCAGGGCGAAAACGGTCTCCATCATAATCCTGCTCATCCCCCCAACCATCATCAAAGTCATGGTCGCCGTGCCATCGGCGCGGCGGCGACCCGCCTAGGCGCGATCCGGCAGACCGGTTGCTCATGGAAAGGTTGGATATGGGAAAATATCGTAGCGGGCGACGGGTCGGCTGGTCACCGTAGAGGCTGCCAGCACCGGATCCGACACCAACAGACACACCAAACGTGCTGGCCCACTGCTGGGTCTCACGCTGGACGGCGATCTTTGTGTCTTCGGTGTCCCGCCGAACAGCCGCCTTGGTTTGCTTTTTGTGCTTGTCTTTGAAGTCTTGGGAATGTGAGCATGAGGGCGTACGAGAGATAGCACTTGGAATACTTGGAACGAGCGTACGCTGAATGCAGCCGCCATCTTCGGCGACCTTGGCAACACATGTCTCGATTTCGCATTCGTCTGTGGTAAAGATAGAATGAGTGGCATGTTCAAGTTAACCGAATTTCAGAGGTTCTGTTGACTCACGGAGTCCACAGTATAGGTGCAAGTCAGGCACAGGTTCCGAGCAATCGATTTCTCGACAGAGGTCTATGTATTTTCATGTTAGTCGGAGAGAATGGTGGCGAAACAGGGTTGGGTGTTGGCGCACGGTTGAAGCAGTAATCCTCGCGGGTTTTTGCATCTTGCTTCCAGCCCTTGGGGCCCAAACACGATTTCATCCTACATCCGTCTTTTTGAATGTGAAGCAACGAGTCAGCAACGTACTACTGAAGTAAAGGCATTTGTGGGAACTGGCACAAAGTGGACATACGAGCTTCGCAGTATTTGAGGCCACTGCGACAGGGTTTGCGGCAGCCGAACTCAAGACAGGCATGCTTGCGGCAGTGCACACTGGAGCTGATGCGGAAGTTTGAGCACGATTTGTCGGCGCAGATGCCGTCTGAGTTGGTCAGACAGTGAATGCTAGGGGCGTTTATTAAAATGAGTGAAACGAGGACAAACAGAACGTACGATCTTTGCAGTAGGCCAGGTAGTATGTCAGGTAGTGGTCGCGGTCGTAGCGCTCAATCGAGCACTCCGCAACATCCTTGGGGTCGAGGACGCGGTCTGTGGGCACGACAAAGCGAGGACGCACGCAGGAACGCTCAGCACATTCGAGGTCTGTTCATGTTAGAGGAAAGAAAAAGACGAGCGACGACAACTTTCGTATCGAATGTGCGTACGCTTTTTGCAGAGCATGTAGCCGACGACGGCGATCTTTTGGCAATTGGTCGACCGACACCCATCTGAATGTGTGTTAGCTCCGCAATGGGCGTGAGGCCTGGCAGGGGCGAAATGAAGACATACGTTCGCCGCAGTATCCACGACCATCTTGGGCCTGCTTGACGCAACCTGTATAGTAGCATTTGTCTGGTTTCCGTTAGCAACGACGTTGAATGAGGCTCTTTGTCGCCTTGCTATGATCTTTGTGCCGTTCTGTTGACGTAACATACGCTTTGGGCAGAATTTTCCGAGAGAGTTGGGTTTGGTCTCGTCACACAGAAGCTCGCATTTGTCGACTTCGCATTTGTCTGATATAATGGTCAGAACGAGAAAGCACAGAGCACAGACGTAGATAAACAGACGGGAGAGCCAACAGGACCAAACACACGCTTTGGACAGAATTCGTGCCGCAGGAACTTGCTGGCGTTCTTCTCGGAATGCGTCAGGTCGGCGACCTGTCCTTTGACTTCGTGACAGCGAAACGCCGGACAGAAGGCATCTAGAGAGACGGTCAGCAGAGTGGTGGCGTTGTGGGTTGTGGTATGTGGAGGACAGAAGAGACTGCGAAAGGACAAAACAGACGTGTATTGCACATGGCGTCGTGCCTTGGCTTCTTGGTGGAGCAAAACTCCGTCGTAAAGAAGTAGCGACAGGTGTCTGCTGCGTCAGCAGGAACGACGGATGGTTGGAGTAGGAGCGACCCAGCGCAAACACACAAAAAAAAAAAAAGGGCAAGAACGAACGGTCTTCGCAAAAGTCGGAGAAAATGAGAGGCAGGTGCGACCTGCGCTGGCGGTAGTACCACTCCCGACGATCGCGCTCTATGCTGAACTGTGCACACATCCAAGCAACACTGCCCTGCAGCGGCGACTGCTGCGGCGTGGAAGACGAGGTCGGGCCGGGCTGAAGCGTTGCAAACGCGAGTGGCCTGTTGCCGAGGACGGGAAGGTCGCCCTGTGGCAAGCCCGTCGCCGACAAAATGTCGTACAGCTTCATCTGGACCTCCCGCGCCTCTTGGTTGGCGTGAAACGGGACGAGGGCAGAGCCCATGTTGCCGCTGTTGTGGTTGCTAGCGTTGTGGCCGTTGATTTCGGGGGCGATGCCGCCAATGTTGTCAACGTTGCGCCAGGCGACGGGCTTCCTGCAGTCCTTGTCCCTGCATTCATGCCGGTTGGAGGAGGAGATGCCCTGGCTGGTGCGCTGTTTCGTCCCATGGTAGTCGTGTTGGCTGCTGTCATTGGCCCCTGGCGGGCGTACGCCGACGCGACTGGCCCGGCCGCCATCTTCGTTGGCTCGAGCGCGAGTCGTGTCGTAAGAGGTAACATTCATTGCAAGAAGATAGAACGAGTCGTAGAGGCTTCCCGGTGGATTTGGCCTGTGTGGCGTATGCAATACTGTATAAGAAAATAAACTTGTGCAAGAACGAGGAGAGAACAAATAAACCAAAGTCGTTATAAAATGGCCGACAGGAACTGGCTCACATATAAATAGACGTTGATTTCATGCACACTATTATGATTACGGACGGACAGCTCAACAGGGATATGCGCCGCGACTGACAGGGCCGCCTTTAACAGAGCACAAGGGGGAAGCTGGCGAGGCTCGCTATCGGGGATCCTGATTTGGTATTTTCAGGTATGCGACGGCGCAAAGATGCGGCGGTCAGGCCAGAGAATGGTGAGCAGACGGGCCGAGAGCCTCATGTACTGTGGTGCATGATGCTTGATGCCGGGCACGAAACGGCATACACCATAGTTGACGACACCCTCATTTTGTGGCTGTGTAGCACACATCTCCCTGTGTTTTTCATGTCTGGCCGACTTTGTGTGAGGAACAGCGTGCTTTTGCCAAGGTTTTCCCGGGCTTCGTCGGATTTGCACGAGGCTGGACAGTGCCCGAGGGGACACAGTTGGTACCTCCTCGTCGTTGATTGGATGGTGGGCACAGGATGGACAGCCTCGTTTTCGCCATTGTGCTGATTTGCCTGGTTGGATGGAAGTTGGATGGAAGAGGAGATAAGGGGACGAAAGGAAAAGAGACCGACATCTGGGCGCAGAAAGAACACGTGCTTGAAATAAACTGCACGTTCATCCCACCCCGTCTTGCATTCTGCCGTCAATTGCACTTCCTGCTATTTTGACCACTGATACCGATACTTGCGACACCCTCTTTTCTGCTTCACCGCCGGATGCAGCTTGCCATGTGGTTCTCACCGCTTTCTCTCCTGCGTTCTTCGCTCATACATACCTTTGCCGTTCTTTTCTGTGTGCTTCTTTCTTTTCAGCACAGTGTAGGACTGACAGTCTGATGGGGTGCCTCGCCCATACGACCCGCAACGCCACATTGCATGATGAATTGTACCTCTAGGAAAACATCCTGGTCGGCATCTCTGCGTTTTCTCGTTTTTTTGTGCGGTCCGACATGTACTTTGTGGCGTAAACTTGCCATTCAAGCAAGCACTGCATGGACAACAAACATGCTCTGCTGGACATAGAGACAAATCACCGAATATTGGTACGAAAAACGAATGTCAAGGAAAGGATAGAACCTGGCTGGACAGCCACACCGTCGAGCCATTTTGAAAGCAAGCTTGTGTGAGTCAAGACCGGGTCGACGGCTAGGTCTGCTTTCTTGTAAGTGGTCACGTGGCCACGCGTCTCGTTGGTGCCGCGATACTGAAGGGCTGGACAGCAGGCGCGACCAAGGCATCCCCGCTTGCTCCCGGCTCCGCACATCCCGGCGCTGTGATTCGCCACATAGGCAGCAAGAGCCCCGTGCGCCTTCACTTTGGACAACGACAAACACTCATCCAGAGCAAAACCAAAACAGGCGACCTCGAAAGCAATGACTCTGCCTGCAATGACTGGGTGGCGACGCCGTTGAAGTCGAGTATTTAGACGCGCAGACCTGACGCGAACTTGCTTACCCCCTCGTCGCCTTTTCTCATCTCGCACCCACCAACATCCTCCTCGTCGCATCTTGTATCACGACACCAAATTACGACGGACATCCATCACCAGATCTCTGCCTATTTGCCCGTCCCAATAGTGCTACGTACTTCTGGCATCATGCCCCCGCGCACCAAGACGGCGACCGCCTCCAAGGTGGCGACGACGGCCAAGGCGAGCGCCGCTTCGGCCACGCCCCCCACCGACATCTCTTTTCAACCGTCGCCCGCCCTCTCCCACATGGACAACCAGCTTCGGCGCATCGCGGCGTCCCAGCGCACCCCGTTTGAAAAGAGCGTCTGGTCGCTGCTCTGCCAGATCCCGGCGGGCCATGTCACGACCTACGCCCTCATGGCCGCCCATCTGCGCTCGTCCCCGCGCGCCGTCGGCAACGCCCTGCGGCGCAACCCGTTTGCGCCCGACGTGCCGTGCCACCGGTGTGTCGCGACGGGCGGTGGCCTGGGCGGGTTCAAGGGCGTGGGCCCGCCGAAGAAGACGGTGTCCACAAACAAGGTGGACAAGAAGACGGGGCGGCCGGTGGTGGTGATGGGCCACGAGGGCATTACGCTGACCGAGAAGCGGACCCTGCTCCGGAAAGAGGGCGTGCGGTTTGACGACCGCGGCCGTGTGCTCGGGACGCCCTTTGAAGCTTTTGTGTAGAGGGGACCGGCACATGACGGGAAGCGAAGGCAATCCCGGTTGGACCGTCGGCTTGAACAAGGATCGCACATGAGGGTTTTACTTTTGTTTTTCCATTTTACATGTGCTCACTGTGAGCCTTTTGATTTGCTTTATTTTGTTGTATTTCTTTTATTCCCCCATTTCAGCATGTCTCTACGGAATAGTCTTGGCGGCGCATCCAGCTGGGCGCGGTGTTCGCCGTCATATGGCGTTATTTGGGCTAAAATGGCGGACTTTGGCCCAACTTGGCGGGACTTGGCGAATGCAATGAAACCATACTCTTTACTCTACGAAACATGTCGCCGAACGAATTGGCACAGTTACCGTCGAAAAGTCGACATTTACAGGTTATGCATGCGAGTCTGCGCCATGGTGAATCGAGAAAGATCTGGCGAAGAGAACCAAACGAAAGAAGATCTTCACTGGTTTGGTCGCTTGCGCCTGATGGCGACTTTCTCCAGTTTCGATGTCGTGCAACCAACGAGTCGTGTTATATAAACGGCGCATTGCGCCTCAACTGCGAATGGAGCTCCTCTCTGTATATGTCGTCAGTACTCTGTACGGCAGCACCGCTACACCCCGTACACCAGTTAGACCACCGTACACGCGGACTCTCTCACATTTATTACGGCACAATGTCCCGTGCTCTTGTCTCATCGACCCTGCGGCGTGGTCTGTCGGCTGCGGCCGCTCCCCGCATGACCTCCCGTGCCGCCTTTTCAGCAACTGCCCGCGCCGCGGACCAGATCTTGCCTGTGCGCGTCCACGGCGAGGGCTCCGGCACCCAGCAGTCGCTGTCGGTGCCCGACAAGCCCTACACGTTCTCGTCCGACACATACACGGCACTCGGCGGCGGCGATTCGGCGCCGTCGCCCGTTGTCTACTCTCTGGCCAGCCTCGGCTCTTGCAACCAAGTGACGGGCAGCATTGTGGGCCGTGACCACGGCGTGCGCCTGGGCCGCTGGAAGGTGGATGTGGAGGGCGCGCTGCCGACGGCCGTGCTCGTGCAGGGCGCGCCGGAGGGCAACCCGAACTGGGAGAGCGTGGTCCTCAAAGTTGCTGTGCAGACGGACATTGATGGCGGCAGCGACAGCCCCAAGTTCCAGCACTTTGTCAGCGAGGTCGAGCGCCGCTGTCCCATCACGGCTCTGTTCCGCCTGAGCGGCGTCAAGCTGACGAGCGAGTGGGTGAACGAGCCGCTGCCATAGGTGAGGTGGAAGAGGACATGTCGAAGGGGAGATGTCGCATAAAAGAACGCATACGATGAAAATTGGACGATCAAATACGTTGCTCTCTTCGCCGTTTGACATTGTGCCCAGTATATTGTAACTTGAACATTTGTCTCTCACATAGCCGTCAGACAGAGCCATTGTCTTCGAGAGAGAGGTGCAGCTCACTGCAGCTCACAGCACCTCACAATTCACAATGGACTTTAACATCGAAAAGAGCCGTCTCTCTGTATGAGGCACATTTATGACAGGAGCAAACACGTGATGTACGATCGTCTCATTTGTGCCTGCAAGGAAAGAGGGGTCCTGCCGCTCAGTTCGTGGGGTACTGCCATTCGCAGCTTCTGTATTAAGCGTCTTGTAAAATAGCGATTACTGGCCGGTTGCTCCTTCTATGGACCCCGCCTGTGGTACGTCTTGGCCTCTGGAGAACGTCACAGTAAAAAGCCAAGCTTTTTCTTTCCGTTTCCCGAGAGCCTCGTGTTCTTGGCAACAGTGGAACTCTGAAGATCATCTACATCGCTGTCTGACCGTGCTGGAAATGCAATGCATCTACTTTGCATCTTGTCTGTACCAGTCGGGGTTGGAAACGACAACCGAGTCAGGTGGTTTGCTGTGGTGCGTTGAAAAGAGTCACTTTTCTGGCCCTCTCCTTGGATTTTGAAGGGGGAAAAAGGCGAGCTTCACTTTACGGCTTCGTTGTTCTTCTTTGCCCCTGTTCTGCTGGTCGCCCCCTCTCTCTCCCTCCATACCCCTCGATCGTCTTATCGTCAAAGCCGGGATGGGCTAGTTTTGCGCCATTTTCCCCTTCTAGTCAACCGAAGAAATAGCCAGAAAACTGCAGCAGCAAATGCCGAAAAGACTGGGAAACCAGGACGACGTCGAACCAATCCCTGGCCGCCATATCTGTGTTTGCTGTTCACAGCTCGAGGTGGGGACAGGCCAGGTCACCAGCCCACCCGAGCTGACGGCGCTTTGCTGCTCTTATCATGCCATCGCACCATCGATCGAGGGCCATCCTTGAATCGACGGGGCAAGACAGACGGCGTGGGGCGGCGCAGGCCAAGTTCGTGCAGCTGAAGGGGGGAAAAGAGGGACAAGAAGGAGAAGAGGGGATGCTACGACGTGCAGCAAGCATGATAGCCGATCTATCACCCTTAGCGACCCGCTCCATGTCCTCTTATTTTCTTCATTCGCTGGTTTTTGTTAGGACGAACAGCTATCCAAGGAGCAAGCTGAAAAGGCACGGAGGGCGTGCTGCATGTGTACGATGTAGTGCTGTATCGTCGATATGAAGAGGGGGGGGGGGGGTGGGTTGACGCCAGATGAGGGGGTCTTGTGTATAAATACTGCGGCTGAATCTCCATCTATCTCCTCTCGTCTTTTTCTTTTTCTTTTCCCTTTTCTTGTCTCTATTGCTTTCTCTTGCCTTTTCTTTATCCAACGTCACATTGAGTCCTAACCGTTCACAACTCACAACCACTCATCACAATCAGTCACAATGGGTTTCGGCGACGAGATCAAGGAAGTCGAGAACGCCGTTGACGGCCAGACGTACGTACCAGTCTTTTTGGAGGATACTATCCACAGTCTTGCTGACCACACCAGCTCTGCCCAGCAGCAGACCCAGAACAAGTCCGACTCGGGCATCGACACCGTCCTCGACAGCGGTAAGTCGGTCCACCAAGAACGGTTGATGCATGTTTCGTCTCGTGGGCGTTTGGGGGACCTGTTGAACTGACTTTGCATCGTCTCAGCCGTCGACGGCCTGGCTTCGCGCGAGGGTGTTTCTGCCGCCCTGGACCCCGAGATCAACAACGTCGTCAACGACGAGGCCAACAAATTCCTGTAAACAAGGTTGACTCGTTCGTGTCATGTCGTGTCATGTCGTGTCACATCGTGTCATGTCGTCATGCTGCACCTTAGCATAGCACAATAAACAGGACCAGAAAAGCAGACGATGAAACGATGTTGTGCTGCCAAAGCCATGTAATGATGGACAGAATCCATGAACCCCCACGAAAACACAAAAACCAAGAACAAAGAGACCGTCAAAGAAAGACGCCTTGCCGATCCATCGACTACACCAGCACAATGTCCTGCTCGGTCAACCGCCCATCGGCCACCTGTGCCACCGCCTCGCCGTCCATGTAGCCGTGCACATACGCCGGACACACGTACTTGTAGTAGGCCGTCGTGCCGTCGTCTCCATCGCCTGCCCCTGTCGAGAGCGCCCCTGCGTCCTGCGCCCGCAGCACCACCGGCACCTTAGATCCGTCCAGGACCGCCACCACGTCGCCAGGCGCCGCCACGGCGCGCACCATCAGCAGCAGCCCGCCGCCGCTCGGCAGACGGCCATCCTGCACGGTGTGCGCCATGCCCCACCGCCGCGCCATGCGCCGCAGTATCCGCGTTGCCGGCAGCGTTTCAACGAGCGCCGTCGACGGCTGATCGTTATTGTACACCTTGTTTCTGCGGTATTTCTCCCACTCCTCGTCGGTCGTAAAGCCCTTTGTCTCGTTCCGTTCCTTCTCCAGCTCGGCCTCATGCAGTCGGCACACCTCCGCCAGGCCGCTGCTGCACTGCGCGCGCTCCTCCGCCGTCAGTCGGCGGATCGGGTAGGCCGTGCAGTCGCCGCTGATGGTGCGCCAAAAGGCGTCCCAAAACGGTTCGCCCGTGGCGGCATACACTGTTTTGCCGCTGCTGGGTTTGCCCTCTTCGCCCCGTTCGCCCCCTTCGACTCCTTCGACTCCTTCGACGCCTTCGATTGTGTCGTAGTATAATTTCTTGTAATGGGAAAACAGCGCAACGCCATCCCCGAAATCGACGTAGCTTTTGCCGTTCTCCTCCCAAGGCCCCTGCTTGAGCGGCGCCACGCGGCCAAGCATGGTGCCACGCAGACGGAGACTGCGAAACGTAATCGGCGCCTGCTCGTCGGCGTCGCCCCCCTCGCCCGCCACGCCACCAAACGAGCCCTCCTCCACCTGGAGCGGCAGCAGGTGCTTGCAGTCCGGCTTCCCCGCCGCATAAATCCCGCGCTGCGCAAACAGGATCGTCGCAAACTCGTCGTAAAAGTCCGTGTAGAAACTGCGGTCGAAATTCGGCGCCCACGACGGCAAGCCGGGTGCACGTCCTTTGGCACCAGTCTCATTATCGTCGTCATCGTCGTCGCCATCAAAAGGATTCTGGCTGATGACGTCCAGCGTGCCGCTGGTCTCGATGATGGCCTGGGCCGCATCGCTGTAGACACTAGCCACCGGCTGCTTGTAGTCGACGGGCGGGAGCCGCGGCGCTTCGGCGACCAGGCCGAGCAGCCCGTACACCTTGTCGCGCGCATCAGTCGCTTGTGTCCACTTGAAGCGGGCGAGCACATTGATGAGGCTCGGATCAGAGGGCGCCTCGTTGGCAACCGTCGACGCCTTCGCCTCCTTCGCCTCCTTCTTGCCCTCGACGCTGCCCTCGTCCACACTCGATTTCAGCAGCTCCCGCTCGAGCTCCTCCTCCTCTTGGAAGAACCCGCCCCGAGTAGACCGCCGCAGAAAGCCCGTGCCGCCATGCTCCGTCCTCGTTTTGCGGATGACCTGCCGCTGGAGATGGATCGACCGTACGCGCGAAAAGATTCTGTGCGCTGCAGGGCCAACAGTGCCGTGGCTCCACGACGAGTGGAAGGCATCTGCGTAGGCAAAGTCGTCGAGGAACCCGCCCACAATGTCCCGGTCCCAGTCGAGCGTGTCGAGAGTGTCGAGCATGTCGGCCTTTCCGCCCCCATCGTCCTCTGTGCCGGCGTCTGTTGGCACGTCCACAGCACCGCCCGTGTCGCCCTCGTCTTGGCCACCCCCATACGCATGGTGCTTGCCCACAGCCAAGAGCACGCGCGGCGCGCACGACAGCTCCTGCACAATCCACACGCGCGTCCACAGCTCTGCGTCCGAAAATGTCGCGTACAGGCTGCGGATCTGCTTGAAATCCAGGTACCGTTTCTGGCGCGAATCCTCTGGGTCGTACTCGTCTTTGACCGGCTTGGCCTTGTCCTTCTCCGCCGCCTCCTCGGCGTCGTCCATAAACGAAAAGCTCCCGATGTCTTTCCATCTCTGTACCATGACCGTCAGAGCTGCGGCGTCGCGGTCGGCAATCTGTCGCATCAGTGCCAGTCCGTCGCGCAATTTCTGTGCGCGTCTGCTGCTGTTCCCAACGCGACGTTGCTCGGCCCTGCTTCGTTTCCAGGCCTGCTTGGCCGCTAGCGTACGCGCCGCGGCTTGCTCGTCCGTCTCACCCGCCACGGCACCCACCTCTTGTGCCGCCCGGGCCTCGTCGGTGTCGCTGTCGACGTCCTCCACATCCTTGTCGGTGAGCGGCAGCGGCGGGTGGGGTCCGAGGTACGCCACGTCGGCCACGCACGACTCGTAGATGCGGCGCATCTGCTGTACCTGGCGGCTGCGCTCGGCCAGGTCTTGTTGGTTGATGCACAGAGCATCGACCCAAAGAATGCGGTCCTGGCCGCGAAAGCGCACTTGCCGGAGCGCCGTATCGAGGTAGGGCGTGATTGGGAGCGATGATAGCTCCGCGTCGTCGTCGTCGTCAGCGGCCTCGCGAGCGTCCGTCACCAGCACAGAGAAGTCACCCCAGGGCTTGCCCCAGACGTACGACAGAGCCTCATACTCAGGTGCGGCGTCAAGACTGGCGTGGAAGAGGCCAACCCGAAGTGGCGCATCAAACGACTCTGCTGGGTGCAGCCGCAGCAAGCGGAACTCGTTCCGGGCAACATCCAAAGGCTGGTGTGTGAAGACCATGTTGTTCACAGATCTTGTGGCTTGACTTCTTTCGTTTGTCTTCTTTTGTCTCGGATAGCAAGCTGTTGGACATCGACAGTCTCTTGCAGTGTTTTTATCTTTCTCCGCTCGCCGTTCGCTGGATCGATGTGTATTGTCGTTGTGGTAGCCTCCATCGGTGGATTGTGGCAGTGTAAGCCGCAACGAAACATTCTAAATGAAGATTACCCACAGAGGGGTCAGCCTGCATGAAAAAGCAGCCCAGCCCCAACCAAAACATCCAGGGGTGCTTTGTGCTGTGTTTGCCGCAGTAGTATGACGACGATGAATTGAAGGGTTGCAGGGGTTTGGACTCCAGAGTTTTGGCAATTTTGTTTTGGGAAGGATTCGAAGCGCTGACGGCGACCGGCAAGATCAATACGACGTAGATCAACGAAGAGCGTCCGGGCTTGTTCATATCAATGTTTGGCAAAAAGATGGGAGTTCAAAAAATACGGTAGTTAAAACAAAGGCCGTTAAAGGCGAATTGAAAACAAAAAAAGCAAGCAACAAAAGAGAGGTGCCAAATTCCGAGCCAAAAAGAGTCTCTCGTGGAGAACATATCGAGGTACCGCAGGCCGAGGCAGAATACCAACCCAAATCTCAAAACAAACGCCAACACGAGAGGTGAATCCCAAGAAACAGACCCAGGTATTAAGAAGCAAAAAGAAAAAAAAAAGAAAAAAAAATACAGAAAAGAAGTATCAAAGGTCCAATAAAAACACTTGGCCCAAAATAAGTTTCCCAGACCATTGGCCAAAATCAAAAATCAAAAAAGGAACCCAGAGAACGCAAAGCGTCCAAAAGATACTAGCTTCATTGTGAAGAGGCAAAAAAAACAAAAAAAAACAAGAGAAATCAAATGAAACAAACCGAGCATGGCCTCTCCTTTTTAACTACCGGCGCTCTTCAAAATCGAAGCTACCGAGGGGACCGCCTCCACTGCTGCCCGCTTGCTGGTCGTCGAACTCATGAGCTGCGTTCTGGACACTTTGTAAGGGCTGCTCGGTGGCTTCGTGCTCGCGGGACATGCCGCCGCCATATGATTGGCTTTGGTTGTGGCCGTGGTTGCGATTGTGGTTGTGATTGTGGTACTGGTTCTGTTGCTGCTGCTGATGAGACCGCGGCCGTTGTGTCTCGCGCAAGGCACTAGGGTGCGCCTGGATGATCGAGCCCATCAACGGCGGAGGAGCGGATGCAGCAGCCGCCGCTGAATTTGACATGGCTGCGTTAGCTGGACTGCCACCCACAGGGACCGGCCCGCGACCGGTAGTATCGACAAACACGTCGTCATCGGCAGCCGTCAAGGCCATGCCATCAATGAGACGCGCATCGTGTGAAGAAAGCACCGCGTTTCCGCTGTCGCTGTTGTTGCTCAGATTGCTGCTGCTGCCACCACCACTCATGTCGCGGAAATGCTCGAGTGGCGAGCGGACGAACTCGCGGCGCATGTTCAAGCCGTTGCCGCCACCACTTCCGCCGCTCCCCAACCCGGCCCCGAGCGAAGGTAGCGACGTAACCGGTGTGCCGGCTGTGGTGCTGGCGCCGCTGGTACTTCCCATAACAGCCACATCACTGAGGCCCGAGTTAGTGCGCTCGAGTGTCGTGGCCCAGGTCATGGCGTTGTTGGCAGCCATGGCGCCGGCCGATGACGTGGTCGGCGGCAACGGGCGGCGGTGGTAGATGGGGCCCGACACGGTGCTGCCGGCGCCCTCTCCAAACCCGACGAGGCTGGCAGTGCCGTCGTCACTCATGCGGTCGAATTCATAGCCATAACCGCCGGCCGAGCGGCTGGCCGTATCGAGGTTGTCATCGTCCAGCATCATCATAGTGTCGCCGACAGCACCGTGGCCTGTGCTGCCGCTGTAGTGGTAGTTGGTGCCCATGCTACGGATGTCGTCGTCGTCCATATCGTCGTCCTCGGTCATGGTCGAACCGTCGACGGTGTCGCCGTCGCCGAGCGTGCGGCCGCTGACGCTGTTCGTCGCGCTGGCGGTGCCCACCGTGCTCATTTTGGTGATGGCGACAGGCTGGCCCTGGGCATCAAAAAAGGCGGGTGTCAGAGGACCTGGGACAGCCATGCCGCTCGACATAAAAGCGCCACCACCGCCACCAGCGCCCGAAGAAGTAGGTGTTGTTTGAGTGGAGGAAACCCCACTGCTGAAGCGGTTACCAGCGCCTCCACCGCCGCCGCTTGTAACGCTGCCTCGATTGGGCGCATAGGTGGGTCGCAGGGTGGTCATGCCAGAGAGGCCGGCGAGGCGGGAGATGCGGTCGGCGCGCTCGGCCTCGAGGCTGTTGGTCGATGCATTGTGTTGGTGGCCGACGCGCTGGCCGCTGCCGGTGCTGCTGGTGCTGCCGGTTACGGCGCCTCCGCTGAGGAGAAGTGGAGGGATATGGCCGCCGCGGTGGCCGTCCTTGATTGCTGTCGTTGACACGGCGGAGAGAGAAGTCGTGGTGCTTGTTGGGGTGCCTCTGGAAACACAGTTAGCATTCTGTTGCGAGCCCTCCGATCTCGCATCGATATAACGTACGGAGTCTCCGATGGCGTATCTGGATTCGAAGGTGGCTGTGGGAGATTGATAAAGGTCGGCTGCGTGACCTGGAGAGGCTGAGAGGCTGACATTATCGATTGTGGTTGCTTGTGGATGAAATGTAGGAAATGTTGGATCTTGGGGTCGTTCTGCTCGCGACTTGACGAGCTGCTACTAGCCCTGCAATCAGCCGAGCCAGGACGTTGCAAAAGACAAATGAGTCTCTAAGAAGATGAGCACGGCAAAGCACGCTGCCGTTTGCCTTGTCTGTTGTCGTTTGCCGTTGGTCGTTCGATGCCAGTTTGCCTTTGGGTGCTATTCGGAAGAGTTACCAAAAACGTCTTCAGTGCATGCGTGGAATCTCTGTCGCGCCGCCCGTGCGAACACAGAACGTACTCGGTGTGATGGTGAACGCGCTGGATTGCGAGCAGCTGTGGGTTTTCGTTGTGTGTTTGATGAAGCCTCTCGGAATCCTCGACAATTGAATAGAGTGATTGTTGACGGATGCGTGATTGAAAAGAAAGGGAGGGGGGCGTCTTGGCCAACCTTGTCTCGAGCGATAGCTCTTTCCTTTGATCCTTTGCGAAGGAAGCCTTTGCAGTTGCTCTTTCTCCCTAAATCGAAAGTGGCGTGCCTGCTGCTTTGGGCCTGGTCTGGACTCGCCGGCGAAAGGTCAGTGGAGGGGAAGGAGCACATGGGCAATGAAAGAAGGAACACGAAAGGGCATCCAACCAGGAAGGCATGACGTAGAAAGTCCGCTACAGCAGCTTCGGGTCTAGCTCACAGCTGATCAGCCTATCCCGGCCGACCCTGGACCCCCACTAGAGCCCGTGCCAGCGTCCGGAAATGCGCTTAGGAAGGGCCTACAGTAAGACCTGCAGGATGTAAATGCAGTGTTTCCCTAGGATTAAGGGGAATACTTGGGGCTTTATCGCATGTCGTTTTCAAGATTGTCTTCTTGCCCAGCAAGACGAGGCATTATTTAGGATCGCTGGTTTCTTTCATTCGTGTCGTGTTTCTTTCGCTATCCTGCGCGTTGTGCGGCGAAATAATATACAAGCTAAGAGCTACAAAGTCAATGCAAACGCTGAAGGCATTGCTTTTATATCCAACAAGGCACATGGAGCTTTCGTGCCAGTCTTCATTACATGTCGTCAGTCCCCTCCTTTCACCCTTGTTTTCCTTGCACTTATCGACCACTGTTCGTCCTCCGTGACGATGACGAGAAAAAGGGCGTGGGCTGAAATGACGTGTGCCCGGCCTTACCCATGGGCAGCTGATGCTCGACAAGCGGCACCGTATCGCCCGACCCGCCGTGGCCGCTGCCGTCGTCCTGCACGGGCGGCGCCACCTTGATCTCGCCGCGTGCAATCTCGACCACCGAGATGAGAGGCAACAGAAGCATCAGCAGCGACAGCAGCTGACCAAAGCTCCACTGGGTCTCGCCGACGTCGGACAGCGATACGGACGGATGGCCAAAGGCCTGCGACAGCAGCACGATGCGAACGGCGACGCCAATGGCGACGGCGGCCATGAGGGCGAGACCCACTAGCTGCACGATACGGTAGAAGCGCTGCGCGCGGCTGTGGAGATACCACGTGGACAGGATGAAGACGACGCAGTTGCCGGCAACCACGGCCACGGTGGCTATAAACTGGAACGCACCGGCACTGCCCGACCACGCGGCCGTCGTGTCGCTCTTGCCGCCCTTGCCGTCTCCTGTGGCAATGGTCGTATTCTTGGGGACGCCCGACTCCAGCGCACACACCATTGGCAGCGTCTGCGGCAGACCGGCGGCGAGCTCGCGCAGCACAAATATGCCGTAGATGCAGCTGAGGGCGAGGTTGACGAACATGAGGGCCTGGCGGAGCCACCGTAGGACCCAGTCGCGGCGGAAGTCGTGGACGAGGGCGAGCAGGGCGGCGTTGTGGACGGCCGTCGATAGCAGGCCCAGCATCCAGATCAAAAAGAAGTGGTAGGGCACGAGCGAGCTGATCTGAGAAAGACCGAGGCTCTGGATGCCAATGCCCGTCACAATCTGCTGATCCGAGTAGCTGTTCAGCAGCTTGCGGCCGATGATGGCAAATGACGAGGTGGACGCGGACGACGAGCCGCTGGCTTTGCGCTGCCGGGCGGCACGGCCCCAGGTGTCTGAGAAAATGAGAACGGCACTGATGCTCAAAGCAACGGCGGCTGTGATAATGAAGGAAAGGAGCACCTAACATATTAGCAGAGGCGTTATGGATAAGAAAACGAAAAAAAAAAAGAAGAAGTCGACGATTTCACGCGAAGCGAGGGGCGAACCGTACTCCAGCACCAGCAATGCCTGAATTACTGGGCGTGCTCGTCGGCACAACCGAGCAGTCGGCCGCCATCGTCGCGTAAGGCTAAAAATATTTTCGAGAGGTAGAAGACGATGTCGTCTCGAGATGTTGGGATTTGTGCGAGTCGTCCAGATGCTGCGACGTGGCAAAGATTAGGAAAGAGAGAGAGCTTGAAGAACGAGGAAGGAGGACGTCACGAGAAGTCGACCAGGTCTTCCAGTCTGGAAGAGAGGAAGGTGCCCAATTTGGTAGGGACGTCTCACCGGAGCTGCGCCTGCCTGCTTATTATTCGTCCTATTTTGGCTGCGTCTGACTGTGCCAAAACAAAAATGACGGAGGCAAGTGCAAGCAAGGCTCGACTGGGCAGGCACGACGGGTCGAAGCGCGACAAATGGCCAAAATCAAGGCTAAAGTGATCGACACATAGGCCCAAAATGGCAATAACGGTCAAGTAAAGGGAGGGAAGGAGGAACCAAGGAGGCGAAAGTGAAATGAATTCGACGTCAATCTTCAAGAAGATCAGCGCCTTGCCCTTCCTCCCACTTTAAAAAGACTTGGGCCTCACTATGCGTGACAATGTCTGTTTGTGTTCGTCGTAATACGAAGCAAGTCTCGTATTAACACCGGTTAAGCGCCTGTCTCCGTTTTGCCAAGGGACGTTGTCTCAGGGTTCTCAGCCCTTCGTTCCTGCCCGTTCCTGACTGGCTCCGACGCGCCCAACATGAGACACCGAAACAAGCAATGACGACAGACGGAGCCCGAATGCAGGGTTCCGCCACGACGGAAGGCGCGAACAGTCGGTAGATAAAAGAAAAGAAAAGAAAAAATATAGAGAAGAAAAGAAAAAGAACAAAACATCGACCAGCGACGCGCGCCAGGCGACCTTGTTCGCAGAAGACAATCTAAATTCCGACAAGCGCTGGCGTCTAAGATGCACGGAGAACGCGTTACAACGTAGATGTATTTCGTAGAATGATGCGTTTTACACTTGGACTAGTCTCATACTAAAACGAGAAAGATAAAACGACCACCAATAAGTCCAAAATGTATAATATTAAGATAAAAAATACAGAAAATTCGCCTGTGATACAGCAGGGAGCACATTGATGTATAGACGTCATGCAACACCACGCTCTTCATTACTCTTGCCGCACCCGCTTGGAAGACCGTGGCAACAGAGACAGCGCGGCACGGGCGGCGCGCGATGTGAGGCTTCCACCGCCGTTGGATCGGGTCTGGCCGTTGTCGCTGACGTCTTCAATGTCGTCGACAATGCCGGGACCGGCGCCCTCTTCCTCGCCGTCACTGCCAGGGTCGGAGATCCACTGGGCCGACGTCAGTGAGCGCTTCTTTGTGCGCCGAGCCTCGCCGGGCCGTAGTGGTGTGAGTTTGGAGGCGGCCGATGTTGTGCCATCTGCCGGGAGAAAGCGGCTGGCCTGGGCGGTGCCATTGGTTTCGGGAGCGTCGCTGCGCCTCTGTTTCAGAGCGTTGAGCGGCCGACTGCGCGCTGTCGGCTTGTGGCGTGCCAGACCCGGTGACAGGGACAATGTCAGCGGCATCTCTCCGTCGTTTCCGTCGTTGTCCCCTTCCTGTTCTTCTTCGTCTCCGTTCCCGGCGTCCGCCCCCGTCAGCTTCTCGCCCATGCTAAGGTCGACGCTTGCTGCGCGGGCACGCTGACCAGTATGTTCGCCGTCGTCCTCGTTGTAGACTTCTTCAATATCCTCTGGTTGTGTGTTTGGCTGCGAGTTGGACGGTGTGCTTGCACCCTCAATGTCTGCGTAGATGTCGGTGAGCTTCTCGGCCTTTTTGGCTCTGGCTACAGCTGCGTTGGCGAGCCTGGTGCCTCGTCGCCGACCTCCTGTCCCATTCGTCTGCTCGGCCGGAACGTCCTCTGCCTCCGACTCAGATACGTGCCTCTCGGCGTTGCCGTTCGCCTTGACCGCTCGTCCCTTCCGTGTGCGTGAGCGTGGTTGTACCAGAGCCTCGGCTGCCTCTCCCGTGGACGATTGTGACCCAGCGGGGGCGGCATAGGTGCCATTTGTAGTCTTGGACTTACCGCCTTTGGCAGCGGCCATGGCGCGTACAACCGCGCCCGAAGAAGGAATCGCGGACGAGTCACTGCCCTCGTCTGCTTCGGCAGCGCCATCTGCCGCCGCCTCTTCACCCTCTGCACCGGCATTGGTTTCGACTTCGTTGTTTTCATCATCGTCGTCGTAGTTCATATCCCAGGCCTGGCCGACTGCTGCGTTCGCATCATACTCCTTGATCAGAGCCTCGCAGATCTGGCGCACAGACTTGCGATGGTAGTTCGGGATGGACCGCTTCAGCCGGCTCCACACCAGCTCACGAGCTGCTCGGTTGTATTTTTTCCGGTAGGGCGCGTCGACGATGCGCGTCCAAGGGATCTTGTCTTCGCGCCCAACATTGGACTCGCGGATTGAGAGTACCAGCCGGTGCTTGTCCTCGGTTGACATGGAACGCACCTGTTTCCGTGTGCGGTCATTGATGGGGCGCTCTGTTTCGGGTACTGTGAGGCCATCCTCGTCGGGCGTGATGCCGAGCAGCGGCAGGCTGGTTTTCGCAGGTGTATCCTTGGGTGTGCCTTCGGGTGTGCCATTGGGTGTGCCTTTCCCTGGCGCTGAACCGAAGTGGCCGTGCATCTTTTGGGCCTTGATCTGGCTGTTGGACAGCTCGACCGGGTCAGGTGGGCCCACAAACTCTCCATCCTCGTTGAAGTGGTAGGCTTCGTGGATCTGCCGCCACTTGATGCGACACTGCCGAGCCGTCCGCGTATGACCCATGCGCTCGCTCACCACGTGCCAGGGAATATCGCGCACAGCCGATGGCTGCAGCGTTGACGTGTCTTGGTTGCGTGAGCTCTGCACTTCACGTAGGATCTGGCCGACGATCTGGCCCAGCCACTTCTCCTCCTCGAACCGCCAGTAGGACAGGAGCACATTGTCGCCGCACGCCACGCGTTCGTCCCAGCGCTTCCGCACATCTTCGCTCGACCGGTCCATGGCGGCGCCAATCACCGACCATTTGTTGCCATGCTTGGCCACGAGCCCCGCGAGCTCAGCGTCTTGGTCGTCTGTCCAGTGATAGCGTTGCTTGAAGTTGTGGAAGATACGACGACACCGCAGAATGACCTGCAACCGCTTTTTATTTGGGAAGTCGAAGGCCATAGAATCCCAAAGTGCGGAGTGTTTCTGGGCATTGTCGTGGACCAGCTCGTTAAAGTCTGCCTGTGAAATTTGGTTCTCCTCCATGTACTTGGCCGCAGCGTCTTTCAGCAATTCCACCTCGTGTGGCTCAAAGTTGCCCTGGGGCCCCTTCTTCGACGAGCTTCCACCTCCAGCAGATGCAGCAACAGAGACCCGCGAGGCAGGTGTCCGTTCGGCGGCCCGCTTCTTTGCGCTGCGTGGGACGGGTGTCTCTGGATTCGCTTCGCCAGCGCCTTCCGCCACAACCGCAGCGGCCCGTTTCCGTTTCCGTGGGGACGTTGTAGCTGGCCGTTCGTCTGGTGTTGCTGGTACGTTTTGACGTCCTGGAACCTCGGCAGACTCAGCTGCCGGTTCTCCGCTGTTCAGGGCGTCGCCCAAGGCCGAGGATACAGTTTCTTCCGTCGCCACAGTCTGGTCAAGGTCTGAGACGTAAGGTGCCTTGGCAACTTGCCGTTTGGATCGTTGACGTACAGCACGATTCTGTGTTCGCACTGAATGAGACGCAATCGGTGGTGCTTCGTCGCTTGGCTGTTCTGCTGCTGGCCCCTCGTCTCCGGCCTCATCAGATTCAGCGTCGCCCGCGGCGTCCCGGCGCGAGCCTTGTGGGAGAACACTCGGGATGTCCTCAATTTCGTCATCCGAGCTCTCGACCTCGTCGCTGGCGGCCGCTCCAGAGGCCGTAACGGCCGGATCGTCTGCATCGTCCTCCGCCCCATCCGCGTCATCCTCTGGATTGCTGGTCTCCTCAGCCGCGACAACCTTGCTGGTTGGGACGTCGGCGCCCTCGCTCTCGGCGTCGTTAGACTCGGAGTCGGAGTCAGACTCTGAGTCGGAGTCGCTGCCAGACGAGCTGCTGTCGCTGTCGTCGTCCGAATCGTTGGAGTCGCCGGTGTCTAGTTTTGCGGGGGCGCCCGTAGCCTTAGCCTTCTTTCTTGAGATTGATGGCTTCTCCGAGGCGCTCTTATCGCCGTCTTCGTCGTCGCTATCACTGTCATCGTCGCTGGCAGACTCCTCTTCGCTCGAGCTGTCGCTGTCGCTGTCCCCGTCCGACGAGCTAGAAGAAGAGCTGGGTTTGCTTGCACTGGCCTTGCTGGCGTTCACTGCTGGCTTTGGCGGGGCGCTCTTGAACGTCATTCTCTGCACAGGTGGTGCATCGTCGTCCGAATCGTCGTCGTCCGAGTCATCGTTCTTATCGTTACTCGCGACTCGGCGACGGGACCCGCCATATCCCTGAGAGAACGCTGCTTCGTCCTCGTCGAGCTCGGTCTTGGTATTGGAGGGAGACAAAATGACGGACTCAGAGTCGGAGTCGGAGGACGCGGTGGCCGTGCGTCGTGTCGGCTTGGCCATGGGCGCTGTTGTGCTGTTGTGTTGGTGATGGTTGTTGATGGCCGTCGGCGAATTGTTGGCGCTAAGTGGTCTTGCCTCTGTAGGAGCAGCTCGACGAGGCTGCAGTTTTGGATGGCAGGCGCGTTGCGCTTCGGCCTGTCGGATAGTGTCGGTCTTGTCGGTTTTGCTGATCGGGTCGGTCGCGGTTTCTCGTCTTGTCGCGCGTATCCAAAATACTTTCGATTGCGCCCCATAAACGGAAGGCGCGACTGCACAGGGTATATTGCGTCCTCCCCCAGCCGGTCCTGCCTCTTAAAACATGCGCAAATGAAGACTTTGCCACGTCAATGAATTGCGCAGACTGTCGCGTCCTCTGCTGGCCGTGTGGCGTTCCGGGACCGCCGCTGCGTTGTTCTTTCGTGCGACGTGGTCTGAGGAGGCTGGGACTGTGAACGAACGTTTGGCGACCGAATAAAATTTAATGGAGAAAAAACATGAAAAACATAACAGACTAAAAGAGCCATTGAGAGAAAGTGGGGCGAGCTTGCGTGACAGAGGGGCCAATCTGCAAGCCAGCAAGAGGTCCCACTTTTGTTGGACGTCACTTCTCACTTACACCAAAGACAAAGACAGCACCTCCGCATAGTAAAACCAATTTACCGTCAATTTTGGGAGCAATGCATGAGCATTGAGAAGCATAAGAAGGAAGTGAATTGCAGTGTGCAGTGTTTCTGAGATGCAAACGGATTTCTCGATATGTGACTTCTTTATATCTGCGGGGTCCTATTCCTTCACCCTGCGCTTTCACTTGGAATTCCCTTTACCTAAAGTTTCCATGAAATCGTCTCCGCCCGCCATTTCTTCACCGCAACTGCGTCCGTCTTTGGCATAATGAAAACCCTCTACCGATGTCCCCACCGCATCATCTCATGCCGTCTTCCCTGTCTCCTCGTCCAACCTCTCAATATTGTCGGCTTCTTCTCCATCCTCGATCTTCTTCAAAAGCTCTATTCGTCGATCTTCTCACCATCTTTATCAACGTCTTCGTTAGTAAGCAGTTTGGGCCCCTCTCCCAGCTTGCAATCAATATTACCAACGCTGCCAACGCTGTCAACGCTGCCAACGATGCCCGTTACAGCACTTGCAGCAAGCGTCGTCTCCGCAGCTTCCAGCCTCTGCATGAGACTCCGGTCCCGTGCGTGGCGGCCTCCATGGGCCACGTTGGATTCAGGCGAAGAAGCAATCGGCTCGCCAGGGGAGTTGTGCATTTGATTTCCCAGTGGCGTTTCAGGCCGGCATCCCTCCCTGAAGTATTCTTCAAAAAAATCCGAGCTTTCCTGATCATCATCAGACAACAGCCCCTCCTCTTCACCGCTGTTATTCACCTCAGTGGCATGACTGGTCGTCCTTGATGGCGGTAGAGGCGGTAACGGGGACATTGGTGGTGGCGAAGCGGGCCCCAGTTGACGACAGATGGAGAGCTGCGTACCGGAGCTGGTCGGCCTCTCCGGGTTGCCAGTCACAAACAGTGGTAGGGGCGGCTCCGACGGACGCCGCTGGGGCGGGCGGATGGAAAGCAGGTCCAACAATTCTTCCTGGCTGAGCTTCTTCTCTTTGCGCGAAGGCACTGTCAGGTGGCTCACTTGTCCATTTCCCGAGACGGCGATATCCTGCGGCTGCGACTGCGGCTCTGGCTCCGACACGAGCTCGGCGGTCTTGTCTTGCACAATGCTATCATCCGAATCCTCGTCTACGCTGGTAAACGAGTTGCTGCTGTCACCTCGCTCCTTCAAAGGTGGCGCAGGCGGTGCTATTTTCTCTGCCATGTCACGCAGATCATATGTCGACTTGCGCGTGAGAAGAATGCGGCCAGTACCCTTCTTCAGCGTCGACCACGCTTTGGATAAGGTCGACGGAGGCGGTGGCGACTTGTCCGGCAAGACAACTTCCTTTTCAGCGCCGGCCGCTGTGCTCATGGATGACCCAGACGGTTTCTGCTTTTTGCTGGTCTTCTTCTGTCGTTCGTGGCGCACTCCGAGCACGATGTCGTTGAGCATGTTTCGCTCCCGGAGGCCCAGCTCGCGTGCTGCCTCCCGTTCCGTCTCGCGCCGCCGCTTCTCGTTGCGGCTGCGCATCTCCTGGTCGGCACGCTCGCGGAACCAGGCATCTCGTTTCTCACGGTTCTCCTTCGACTCTTCCGGCATCAGCATAAAGCTTCCTTCCATCTCGTTGGGTACGCGTGGAAGCGCGAAGTCGGCCATAGTAGCACAGGGGCCGGAACTGCTGTTGCTTCGAGTTCGCCCGCGGCCTGAGCTGTTGTCCTTACTCCTATTATCAGACGCCGTCTGGGGCCGGGGTTCTGGCTGGCTGACCGAGGATGCCTCTCTGTTGCGAAATCCCATGCGAAAACTGCGACCTCCTGTAACATGTTCAGCAGCGACATTGAAGCCATTGAAGTCATTGTTAGGCTGTGTAACAGACCGGACATGACCACGCCGAGAGGCACGACGCGGCGTGGAAAACAGTTTCTGCACGCCGCCTCCCAGACTGTCGCCGATCTTGCTCAAGGAGTTGCTGGCACTGAACGAGCTCCCCTTGCTCGCACAGCTGTTCTGGGTGCTACTTGGAGTGACAGGGCCCAAGGGCTCGCAAACCTCTATCAATCCAGCTTCCTTTCCTTTGTTATTCTGGATCAAATTGCCGAAATCGTTCTGGTTCTCTACTCTAGGGAGAACGGGATTGTTGTCTGTTTTCGTCAATGAGGGATGGTTGGTAATGTCCTCTCCCAAAAAAGGAGCGACGTCTTCAAGAAGCTTCAGCCTCTGCTGTCTCTGCTTGTTGCTTTCCATCTGCTTCTGGGCTGCCAGGAGCAACGACTGGCGTTGGAAGAGTTTGACATTGAGATCCAAGTTCTTACTGGACTCAGACCGGGCCATTTCGAATGTCAGTTTACCCACCTGCGGTGACACCATAGTTGTTTTGCTTTCATGCAGAGCTGCGTTGGTAGGCTGGTCCATTCTGTGTTTGGATTTGGAGTCGTCCTTTGCATCGACGATGACTGAATCGGGCCCTCTCGGTTGCATACTTCGTTTCCGGAGAAGTGTCCGCGGTCGTTTCTGCACAACAATTGACTCGGTAGCCGGTGGTAGTTTGGGTTGGACAGTGTCTTCGTCGTTGGCGTTGGGAGCCGACTAAGCTCCGACGGCCACTTGATTCAGCCCACTCATGCCGTGAAGAAGAATGCTGTCCAGGTCTCCGATGGAGCTCGGTGCGCCTGAAGCCATCGTCCTCACAGAGACACTGCTCTCGCTAGAAACTGTCCGCATGAGCGATGGTGTCCGTCCATGTCCCGAAATCATCTTATGGACGGCTTCGAGACCAGACCGGGGAGAGAAAATAGATTGGCGGCTAGGAACCCCGCCGTCCATTTCCTCGAACCATTCGGGAGAAGGTGAGGCAAGAGAACACTGCCGCCCTTCTTTACCTGCTTTGATTTTCTCCAAGAGGTAGTCACGGGTGTATTGCCATGGGTCGGAGGGTCGACGAGCTGAGCCGGATGGGCCGTTTCCGGCAACAGCGTCGCTGGCTTTGCCGTCGTGCCTGGTTGTAGAGAGCCGGTCCGGTGCATGTTCGAACGTAATCTCCGACAAGTGATCGGCCTCCAAGTCCTCTGACGCCGTCTGTTCATCCGAAAAGCGCACGGATTTCGATGGCCGGCGCTGTGAACACGGGCGCTTATCCTCAGTTGTCAAGGCGTTTGGAACAGCCGGAACACCATTGGCATTCTGCTCCTGTCCCCTGAATTTTGCAAACAGGCACTCGGTGGATTTCCAGCCCGACTTGATCAGATGCATGGTGCGCTCCGACGGTGTGGGTGTCGCGGGCACGGTTGGCCGCTCCCGCAAAGTCACTGCCGATTTAGCGACTTTGAGCACGGGAAGCTGAGGGAACTCGGTCAATCCATGAGGCTCGTCATTTTGTTGCAAGGCATGATCCATTAGGTCTTCCATCGACGATTCTTGCGGACTGAGGTCGACCACCTTGTCCTTTGCTTTCCGTCCAGTAGCTGTGGCAAACACATCGTCGTCTTCATTAACGGCTGTCGGCCCAGGCTGCGCAAGACCCTCTGGCACAATAGACGGCGAGTTGGAATCTGAGCCGAAGGAACAAGATGCGCGCTGTAGTTCGTCTGCTAGGTTGAGCTGCACTCTCAAGTTGGCTAGGACGAGCGGCGATGCAATGGAACTGTCAAAGGACGCTTGGTGGCTCCGAAGGCTGGCAGCTGGAAGGGCGAGCCCCATCCGAAGCAACTCGTGTTCATCGAGTCCACTCAAGTCTCTTGCCAGCGGGTGCATGACGAGCTCGGAACCAGACCCGTACGAAGACGCGTAGGTCGAAGTGGTCTGTCCGGACATAGAAGAAAAGGAGTTCTTAAGAATGGACTTTGTAGGCCCATGTTGAGAGCTGGCCGTGGAATCAGGACGGTCGTCTGGACCACGCACTGTGGCAATGGGCATACCTGAATCTGCCCCAAGCAAAGGCTCACCGTCAACAGGGTAGTCGGTCGTGGTATCTAAGCCGACCTCCGGTGTGCCATGGAGCCCCTCGTACGTCTTTTTCACAGACTCGACCCGGGCAAAATATTCGATGAGCGCAGGGTAGACCTCAGTCCTATAGCCGTCGATGCCGATCTGAGCGAGGAGATTCTTTTGCAGGATGGCCGCTTCTATTCCACCATCGTCACCTTCAAATTGGACATCCGAATCCATGAGAGCAAGGTAGACCGTCTCGCGCAAGGCGCGGACCTCCTGGACGTCGACGCATGGAACTGGGTACGTCGCGAGGTATGGAGGGAAGAGCGCATTCAGAAGCTGAAGCACAAACTGGATGTTGGTGTTCTCGTTGAGATGGTGGCAAATGGTCTGCGCACATAGTTGAGTCAGTTATAATATCCACTGGCACCTGTAATCACTTTGACAAGTTGTAAACGTACGCAAATTCGCGTCCCGAGAAAAATCGTGCGGAAGAGATATTCCGCCTGCGTGTTCTGGGCAATGAGGAGCTCAACAATGTCGAGCGATGGATCCATGCGGCGGCGGGCGATGGCAAGCTGGCCCGGGCTACAAATGCCGAGCTTTGTAGCAATGCTTTCGAGGTCTTGGCGCCGGCGATACTCAAGGCCAGTGATGGCGTCGATGCCGTTGACGAGGTCATGCTTGTCCCAAGCAACTTCCTCCTCGTCGACGAAGAAGACGGTGGTCAGCAAACGGAACGTTTCGCCCCGGATACTTTCCCGTTTGGGAACTTTGAGGTCGTACATGCTGCTGATGCTGCCTGCGAGCACGCTGAGATGCGAAGAGGGTTTCTTGAGCGCTTTGATGGCGGTGACAACCGTGCTCACGACGGACATGTTGCGGTCAAAAGCGGCTAGGCGGCTCTTGAGCGCATCTTCTCGGATCTCCCTGGCGTCAGACAGGAGAGGAGCGTCGCTGGTTTCGTTGTTATTGAGGTCCTCGCGACTCAAAAGCTCCGCGACAAGTTTCTTGGTCTCGACGTTGTTCGTCCACGCCTCGAGAAGGAGTGACGCTGGCGATGGTAATCGGGCTGGCGAGCAACATACGAGTTAATGAGTTAGTTTGTGCATCCTATGCTTTGTCAGACCGCTTGCAGATTGGCTGCGAATACAGAACGTACCCGGACTAGGCCCAAATAAAGAAGACATTTTATCGACCAGCCATCCTAGAGCGATCCAGACGGGTTCTCAGTTGCTGTGTCCTAAGTAGCACTGATTGAAAGCACCAAAACGAAGTAGATATATGTGGAGAGAAGTAAAGTCAAATCAAACAGGCGGTGAGATCTGTAGAGATGTGAAATTGTGGTGTGTAGATGGAAGAAATATTGCGGTGATGAGGATGTTGGCATTTGGATAGTATTTCGAATGGAAGGAGATGCTCGGGGCAACGGTAGATGAGGGGCGATGAGGGGCAGCTTAAAAGAAAAGGAAGGTACGACCGAGCATCGAAAAGCAAAATTACCAAGTATGGAAAGAGCGATCTGGGCCCGCGAACCGACTTTTGATGCTCAATGTAGGCAAGAACATCGTCGGACATGGAAGGAGCGGCTCCGTGTAAGTGCTTTCTAGCGGTGCAGGTGCCAGCAGCTGGCAGCTGGCAGCTTGTCGTCCCTGCCAAGCTGTGGACTTAAGTCGGGCGCCAAAGTCAAGCACCAATTGAGAAGTACGTCACGTGTGGGGAACTGTATTGTGGACGTCTTTGGTTTGCTCCACCAAGCCGTAGCTGCGCCCGCCAGTTGCAGCTGCCAGCTTTGGCAATCCAGCTTCTTTCCTGTTTAAGGCGCCTTGGCGCTCGTCAGCTATTGTGTGTAGGACAAGGAACCGCTTCCAAAATCTGAGGCAACCACGGCATTATTCCAGTTGCTAATTTCAGAAGCTCTTGGCTCAGCTTATCCCTTTTCCATCCTCGCCCGAGCATTCGATCTGTTGTACGGAGTAATTGCATTGTACTTTTGTTCTTTTTGTTCTGTATCATTATTCTGCATCCTTCGATCCTACGCATCCTTTCTTTGGGCTTCACCCGCCCCGTTAAGAGCATGGCATCGTTGTAGCGGAACATCACAACAACCGACAACAACGACGAAAAGCACGAGAAGCACAGCCTGTGGTCTTGACCATGCGGGCGCTGCGCCTCCACGCGTGGCCGTCGCAGGCGCGGACAGCGGTGGGCGCCCGATGCGGCTCGGTTCAGGCTCCAGGGTATACGCCACGACAGGGCGCAGCGTTTGGGATTGGCACAATGGATCACGGCCGCCAGACACTATGCACGGCTCACGGGACCATTCCGGACGTATACAGACTACGCGCCGAGCGCAATCGGTCACGGATACGGCGGTGCTACTCCTCGTCCGCACCCACGCCGCCGCCATCAGAGGCAAATGACAGCAGGGCCGGCAGCAATAGCAAGAGCCAGCAGAGCAGACATGGTGACAGCGCCGGTTCCGGTTCCTGCTCCGGCTCGCTGGGCGCCAAAATGCTCGAGTCGGCGGCAACATCGCTGGCGTCCATTCTGATGCTCGCGCTGGGCTTTGGCGCGGCGGGCTACGGGTACCACCGGTACTACAAGCACCTCGTGCTCCGCAAGATGGTCCTGGCGTTTGAGCCGGGCGACCCCGTGCTGGAGCTGGCGTCCATGGGCCGCGGCGTGCCGCAGCACCTGGCGGGCGCTGCGGCGGGCATGATGCACGCGGCCGACGAGAGTCACGACCTTGCGCTGGAAGAGGGCGAGGGCGAGGGTGCGGGTGAGGGTGGGGACGGCGACGACGGTCGCGGCAACTACTGGATCGAGCGGCCGGAGCAAAAAAAGGTCAACGACATTGTGAGCGGGCGCGAGATTGGGCACTACCACCTGTTTATTGGCGAAAAGGGCACGGGCAAGAGCAGCATGCAGCTGGAGGCGATGGCGCAAATCGACGGCGAGGGCGTGTCCATGTTCGACGCGCACGCCGACCTCGAGATCTTCCGGATCCGCCTGGGCAAGGCGCTGAACTACGAGTTCAACGAGGACTACATTGGCGGGTATTTCAGCGAGCGGGGGCCCCGCGAGAGCACGGCGCTGCTGGACATTGAGCGGGCGCTCAACAAACTCGAGAAGGTGGCGCTGCGGCGGCGCAACCGCACGCAGGCCGGCAAGGCACGCCGTCCGCTGGTCGTGATTGTCAACCAGATGCACCTGATTCGCGACGACGACGACGGGCGCGACCTCATCGAGCTGCTCCAACAGCGCGCCGAGCAGTGGGCGGCCGCCGGCCTTGTGACGATGGTGTTCAACAGCGACGACTACTGGGTGTACGAGCGGCTCAAGCAGCTGGCGGCGCGCATGGAGGTGCACAGCATCCAAGACCTCGCGCGGCACCCGGCCATGGTGACGCTGCAGCGGTTCCGGTGGCGGTACTTTGGCGAGCGCGTCAGCAACGCGACGGCGTCCGAGATATACGACCACGTTGGCGGGCGGCTGACGTTTCTGAACCGCGTGGCGCGCAGCTCGGACATGCTGGCAACGTGCCGGCGGATCATCGACGCAGAGAAGACGTGGTTCCTCAACCAGTGCTGGGTGCTGGGCGGCGACATGGACGACGATGTCATGGACCAGCAAAAGTGGGCCGCAGCGGCCATGGTCCTGGCTCAGGCGCTTGTCGACAAAGAGGCAGAGGAGGCGGCCGAGGCGACAGGCAAACCCAATGCCGGCGGTGACGAGGAGGAAGACCCAACCGCAGGTACGGCCGTTGCAGCCGCTGTGGCTGCGTCCGGGGCACCTGGAGCTTCTGGTGCTTCTGGTGCTCCCGGTGCTTCGGGCGTGACGGCGGTGCTCGCCACACACAACAGCAATACCAACGACAGCACGACGACGGACGCGCCGGTGGAGCGCAGGCAGCTGCCGTCGTTTGCGCTGCACGAGGCACAGCAGATTATGACGCGGGCCGACTTTGTGCGGGAGATGGACCGGCGCAACCTGTTTACGATTGCGAGCAACGCGCAGGTCCGGGCGTCCTCGGTGCCGATGCAAGAGGCGCTGCGGCAGATCTGCGGGGCGCCCGGGTTCCGGCAGCACCTGGATGCGACGGTGCAGCGGATCGCCGACATTGAGAGTCTCGGCCGCACGCGCGAGCTTGTGGCCAAGGATCTGGTGCTGGGCGGCCGATACGAGCTGTCGACGCCGGGCGCAGCTGGTGCCGGTTTGCTGTCGTCGGGCAAAGGCGCCTCCAAAAAGACGGAGGTCCGGTTCCGTGGCTGGAGTCCGCACGAGCGGCCGCCGCGCGATCAGCCGGAGCCAGGCACCGATGACGACACGTGATGTGAACGATCACTGTTCTTTCTTTCTTTTTTTTTTTTGGATTTCTTCTTTGCCTATTATCTCTACATGTCGTTATCAGATCTAAAAATACCCAGTGATACTTTTCATTTGTCTTGGCTTGGGCAAGAGACTTTAGGAATCGGAAAAGGTGGTGGTCGGCGCGAGCTGAATGCATGTCTCACATTTATTGGTTTCTGGATGTCTTTTGGGCTTTGGGCAGCCTGGGGCACGGGGGACAGAGCGAAAAAGATGGCGTTTTCGCAGAGTAAGGCCAACGACTGCGACATGCAGGACTTGGTGTGCCTCTTGTTCTTTCTACGTGAACAATTTTGCACTTTCTGTATACATTTTGAATACTTTTGTTTTGATGTGACTGCGATATTTTGCAAGTTGAAAGGCAGGAGACGATGAAAGTGCGAGACACGGCAGGGTATCACAACCCGTCAATGTGCGTGGCCCTTACTCGGAGCTTTTGTTGTCGCCTCTGCAGATAGACATGCTGATCGCGATGGTTCACCAGCCCTCCCTCTGCCGAGCTTTTCAGCTCTCCCTATCCAGCCTCCTTTCGGTTTTGGTTCTTGCCACCCACCCACACGCTTTCTTTTCCGCGTATTCGGCACAGAAATTGGGAGGGAGAGGAGGTAGTGTTTTTTTTTATTTTTATAACAGAAGACAGAAGACAACTATGCCTGGTATGCAACGCTGAATCATCACCGCATGAGACAAGACGACAAAGGAAGGATTGAAATGAAGCAAGGAGAAGCCCCCCAAGGATCGAGATTTGGCTGTCAACCTTTACAGCTTTACAGTTTGACAGTTGGATGTCTGACGGCTTCCAGGTTGCGCCCTCCTTGCCGCCCGACATCTGACAACGGTACATGCTGAGAGACAACAACAGTCGATGTATCGCAAGTATGTCTAGTTCGTCCAGCCGTTTGTGCCTCGCGAACAGGGTAGGTTCCGACTTGTGCGTTCCGTCGTATTCCTCTTTTGGCTGGTTTGCGCTTGGGTCTTTTCATTTTAATTGCTTCTTTCGTCATAGCCTCGTTTCGCTCGCATCTCAGCTCAGATCCCTCGTTCATTTGGCAGCTCATGGCTCTGTCCCAGTCCAAGGGAAAGCCCTGCTAGTCTTCTCGACATCCTGGTCCATGTGCAAGGTAAGAAAAGACTACAAAAAAGGAAAGAAAAGGATCTGCTTCATAAGTGCTTCAGCTGGCCGAACACCTGGCTCGAGGACCTGCGAATCACCAGCTGGAAACAGACAACAGGGGCTCAAGTTTACAAAAACATCTCAAGATTCCAAGAGCCCGTCCCGAAATCACCAAACCCATTGAAGCAAGGGGATGTGGATAAAAAGACAAAGGTGAGAGCAAGAGAAAGCTGTGGAGCGCCAGCAAGAGAGAAGATCGCCCAACCTTGAACAGGGGTTCAGGTGGTGGGTCGGCACGGCGTGTTCCTCCGCAACAAAGACCTCCGAACATGTATTACTCCGTACGACGTACGACATGGACTCCGGCTAATTCCTGCAGGCAGTACGAAGTAAAAGGCCCTCCTTGCGTCGGGGACCAATTTGTCCCTTTTGCTGGAATTTCTTCAAGACTAAACTCCAAAGTCCTGACAGACCAGACCCAAAAGGAACGACAAAACAAGACAAGGTGCATGACAAGAGGTCAAGCTAGCCTAGACGGGAACAGCCCAAAATGGGAGCCAGTAGGGAGATCGTGAGAAGCGAGAGGGAATGGCTTTCCGATATCGCCATCTCATTGGTTGGCAGGCAGAACAAAGGCGAAAATTGTAAATAATACTCAGCAACCGCTTGCGCATCAATTGGGAGAATCAGGTAGACGCAAGGGAGGGAACAATGCTCGAAGATGCGTGAATAACTCGGCAAAGGTTAGGATCTTGAAAAGTAGCTCAAAAGTCTCTTTTCGGATGATCACCAGGTCAGAAGTCCCCGAATACGGACGACCCCGACCCGATGGAAACTAAACAATGGCTCGAATGGTTAGCAATACTCGCTAACAGTCGTTAGTTATTTGCTAACATCAGCTAACACCGACTAGCAACAAGGCTAGGTCACCGCCAGATGGGAACAACAACATCCAAACAAATGGCCCTTCGAAGCGGCTTTCATCAGGCTTGGCGTGCTGGAACTCCAAGAAAACAAGTCCAGGACAACACCATGGAGCAAGTGGCTCCACGGTAGAGATCGCATCCCGTCCACATGGAGGGGTCAGGTGAGGTGCTAGTGTTGGTGCACTGTGCATCCTCTTACACTGTTCACGCTCACATCGCGATGTCTCGCCTCGCTTCGCCCTGTTATTGGCTTCGTTTTCGGGACGTCGATCGTTTTGGCTATTGCAGGTGTCGCTGTCGTCGGTATATTTCGGTCGTCACTCGTCTCTTTTTGTTCAAGGCGTCGTCAAGCGACCAACTCGATTTGTCGGTGAAGAGAGGCGGAATTTGGCGATGGCGATGGCGAGTTGGAAATCAAAGGAAGCGGGTAAACCAAGCGGAAGAGCCAAACTAGACAATGAATATGCCGTAGGGACTGTTGTCACTGGGGTCGATATCGACCGGCTTGGAAGCGGCCCGCTGCTCAGTCAACTAAAAGCCAACAATGGTGTCTCAAAACAACGAAAAAGAAAATAAAAAGTGATGAAAGCCTGCCGGGCTCGAACAACACACATCGCCTCCCGGGTACCTAGTCGACCCGCGATAACCCGTCGGTGTGAGCGCCATGGCGCCAACAGACAACTTGTTGGTGATGGTTGTGGTGACAAACCAAGCAAGTGTGGCCCTTTCTGTTTCCTGACTTTGTGGCTGCCTCACCTGGCATGCTGAGAACATAAAATACAAAAACAGGAAGGATCTGATGCGAGGGCGAGAGCTGAAGACTGAGAAAGACAGAAGAGGCAGGAGAGAATAATAACAGTTGTACCAGCACAAAACAACACAAAGGTACATTCGTTTGCTCTCGCTGCAACCATCACGGAGCTTGAGAAACAGCGAGAGGCAGACACGCGAATGCAGGGGTCGAGGCTGGCAGTAGCAAGGTCCGGCTTGTGTCTCGATCAATGCCCTCCTTTTTTCTCGCCTCCATTTATTGTCCAGACACAAATGCGCAATGCGGTACATCGAACGTCGCAGTTGGTTCTGAAATACAACCGCGCGCGGAGCAACCTTATGATGCAAGGCCGGCAGTCTCGTAAGGTTCCACGCATACAGAGTAACAATACCCCGTCTCGCCCGTTCTGCAAAGTGTGTCGATCGTCGCGGCCCTGGACATTTCCTCCGTGGCTCTTTCGTGTACTCCGATTGTGTCACTCATGTGATTCGGTCTCTGAAAGCCAAAGCCAGGTCGGTTCGTTCGTCACACTGTTCTGTGTTGCCCGACTCCCCGAATTCTTTCCTTTTCCCGTACCTCTCTTTCAGCTTCTCCCTTCTTAGTAGGGTGTAACGCTTCGTGCACCGTACTTGTACACACACCTATGCGCACATGTCCAGAAGCGGGGTGCGGAGCGTTCAAGGCATTTCGACAGGAGTGTCTTTCTGCTATTGCTGTCGTCGGATGGGCAGTTTCGTGTCTGCCAATACGAAAGCACGTCGGTCAAGCTCGGCAAGTCCCAATTATTTGCACCAATGGCTTTGAACGACGGATGTCAAGTTGCACCCTCAGCAGGGGCGAGACCAGAAAGCCAGGATCCAGAAGTCGGACTTCACATCAAAAAGGGAGGAGAAAATGAAGCTTGACCAGATAGAGGCATGCGGCACAAGACCTGGGGATGCAAACAGGCAAGGATGTTTCTTCCCAGCAAAAGCATCCTTGCAAAGAGAGGATGACCGTGCTCGTTTGGCCTCGTTAGGCTTTCCTATTTTCATCACCGGGCGTCAGCAATGAGTTTCGACGCTCCATTAGCTCCATGGCCCGGGCTTTCGTCCTGCGCACTAAAACTTAAGCTGGGGAATCGAGAAGCCAGTAAGAATGCACAGGAAATGAAAAGAAACAGAATAGAAGAAAGAGGAACAGGCTCGGATGTGAAAGAAGCAATCTTCTCCTTTACCAATACCACCGATTGCTTGGGGAGGATGGGACGGACGCGGATCTGGCTGCATGCAACGATAGGAATAAAGCAGAAAATCAAAATAGTCAAGGCTCTTACGTACCCCAAACGAGTCGTCTTCGCGACGTCTTTTCCGTAGTGCGGGGGTCAATCTCGCTTCCAGGTGGCCGGAGGACGAAAACGAATTGTCCTACTACTCCCTACTACTCCGTATGACAGAGATTCGTATGAGGTACTGCCCGCTTTGGTGGTGGCGAGCTGAGACGATACCTCAACATTCGACGCTTTTGAAGACTGGTAAACGTAATATACCGGTAAAACGTTTGATGTTCGGGCAGTACAAGCCCTGCTTTTGAACCTTTGATACCATCATTGAACGTGATTGGTGGGCACTGGTAATGTGCTGAGGGGGGAGGTGTAAGCGAGGAGTGAAGGGCGACGCGAGTTGCATGTCAGTTGCCCCAGAGGGGAACTCGTTTGAAAAGACACCTGACGCTGCCTGCCTTTTATCAGGCCGTTATTGACGTCGTTGGGTTTAGGGTCTCGGTGGTGTTGCACAACATGCACAGCAGAGACAGGCATGTAGGAGAAAGTTCCGTGTTACATATGGTGGAGCACAGGGAAGATTGGTCGGGGAATGGCGTCTTACCACCCCATGTCGACAAGAAAGTGAACCATTCAGCCCAAAATGACGCAGAAATAGAAACAACAGACTCAGGGAGACAAGGGAGGACGGAGAACGGGGTACACATGTCGCATGCTCGTGGGCTTGTGGTTGGATGCTTGCTTGCTTGTCTTCACTGCTCCGTACGTTGTAATGCTTCGCGTTATGCGTCTCGTTCTGTCGTTCTGCTTTGATAGAGAAGCCAATGAAACACGCTCCGTGCATTTGCAATCGTGCTGGCAGCTCAGGAAAAGAACAAATTTAAGCACCAT